CACGGTTTAATTAGTATAAATAAATGTATATACATCTTCCATTCAACGCAAAGGAAGATTACAATTTTGAATACACAATAGCATAAGGCATTAATACACAAGTCGAAATAAATGAGAGCAGAATATCATCGCACGTGTCGGCTGTATGCAAATGCGCATTAAAATGCAAAATGGCGGAAGCGCGCACGCGAGGTCCCGGGGTCGCACCACCACGCGCCATTGTCCGCGCTGCATCGCGTTCGGTAGCAACGAGATAGGGCTGCCATAAAAGCCAATACGAAACTTATCTACTGTTTGAAATACGTAAGACGAATTTTTCAATTTTGTTAGTGACGAGTCTGATAAAATTGCTAACTCGTTTAAAATACACTGCTGAAACAGTGCGATTCTGTAACTCACTTTTCGAACTCTCACAGCGGTTTTCGCAGCGGCGGTCGCGCTCAAAGCAGTCGTGAAGCAGTCATTTTACGATTTGGCATTCTGATAAACAATAAACTACAAGCTCCCTCCGCTTGTCAAGACGTAAAAAAAGTCTGTCTAAAAAGGCAGTCCGCAGGCAGATCGCAGCCCATGAACACCCTTTTTAGCAAGCGAGTTGCTAGCCTTTGAGGAAGGAGTATACTCTTTCTTTAAACAATTGGAGGTCTTATCTTCTACGGAAGACCTCCACTGGGAGTCGATTCTTCGTTTAAGATTATCTTTTACTTTTTATCTAATAAGTGTTGTTTTATGCTGTTCTACTTTTTTACAGCTGCTACAATTAATTAATAAGCGTAATGTATATTTTTAGTATATTTTCTCATGTAAGTGAATGTCGTAATGTTCTTCAAAAAATATCTTAAACCGTAAACGTATCTAAACGTGAATTAATTAATTACATAATTTGACGTTTCGTACTTTCAGCAATGGTGATCAACGAGAGATTGCCAAACACACACACAGACACAGATTTCGTATTCAAAATACACAAAATCATCACCTGACACCGAGGAATGGAGTGACGCATACACAAAAGGCTTAAGTGGCATGGCCACATGGTATGCTTTCTGATAAGAGTTTTGACAATAAGGAAACGTTGTGGAAAAGCCCTCAAGGGAAGAAGGGAGAGGTGTAGGAAGAACTTGATGGGAAGACATGGTCAAAAGAATTACCAAACCGGAGCCAAATCGCACACGACCGTGACAAATGAGCATCGTTAAAGGAGAAAACAATATTAATTATGATGGATAGGATCCATTATTAAAATTAGATTAAGATTTTTTTTATGGAACAGGGGCATACGGGCAGGAGGCGCATCTGATGTTAAGTGATACCGCCACCCATGGACACTCTCAATGCCAGAGGACTCGCGAATGCGATGCCGGCCTTTTAAGACTGGATACCGAAGGACTAATTACAGTAATAATATACGAGTATATATAGACTTAATAACAAATATGTGAAAAGCAAGGCTTTTTATATATTTTTTTTAACTTTTTATATCCGCTAAAGATGTGTAGTTTTCGCATAAAGTAAAGACAAAAGTTGTTTCCATCAACCCTACTAGCTGCGTCTGATTTGAAACAATTTAACTTGTAATGAAGTTCAGACTGCTCTAGCAATAGATATAGGCTTTAATGTCCGAAGGGCAGAGGCCAAGACTTCTAATGAAGTACAGATACACTATGGTGAGACTTTCTACGTAATTCGAAACTAAAAAATTAATTCAATTCATTTCAAACGTAGAACAAAAATAATTACTTCCGGTATTTAATAGACATAAATCTATTGATGTAGACGTGTCTATGGGTAAAAAATACGGCAAAACGTGTTTTAAAGATTTTATTTTTAAAAGGCTCTATTCAAATGAGGTTTAAATAAAAAAAATTGGGCTACGCTACGAAAAGATTTCGAAGTTACTTCTTCCTACTTTGCGTTAGGGAAAAATTATGAGAGTAAATTTTTACGTCATATTTTTGAGCGCACGTCACAAAAAACCGACACCATGAATATCTGTTCAAACGTCGGTCAAACAGACTGGGCCGCTAGTTGGCGCTTGCAAGTTGCATTGTCTGTCATGGCGTATTGTTTTTCAGAGTCGCGTTTATTTAAACCAAAATAATGATTTCTATACGAGAAAACCCGATAAAAAACATAGTGTTTATAGTACAAATTATATCGCTTCGATTAGAAGTGGCCATTAAAATGGACACGAAAAATGCAATTCGAAGAGGGAACATCCCTCTAAAGTGCTCGAAGAAAATTATTACGTCAAAGAAGTATAACTTCTAACGCGTGTATAGGCAGCGGCACGTAAGTCTAGCGCTGGCCGATACGTGGAGGGGATTGCTGCGCATGTGTACTGTCGCGCGGGGGACGGAATGCGACTGGAGAGCCAATCGACGCTATGCGCGCCCGCTAGCCCCCCTCCGGTACCTTATTTTTTACTTCTGCGCAATAACGGTCAGCGCTAGAGTTTCGTGCCGCTACTTGTACATAAGTACATACATGTTTTTTTTTAAATTAAACAATTTTATCGTGACCGTAAGCAGCTGTTAGAGTCCATGACCATGTTAAGCATATATTTTAAGTTTACAATCATATCACCCTCTGCGATAAATTTGAAGTGACAACGTCGGCATCATATATTTATCTGAAAATATTGTCAGCGCTCCACAGTGCCGTAACTATACCATCTGGGGCCCGTGGCAAATTCTTTTAATGGGGCCCTATCAGTAAAAATCGTCACATCGTACTCAGTTAAATTTTAATAACTTTAACATTTTCAGCGTAATCAATTACACGTCGTATATATCCCACTTATGGCCATAAGCGTCTTCTCTTGGGCGAGAGGGAATGGTCTGTAGTCCCCACGCTAGCCCAATGCGTATTGGAGACTTCACATTCATTCATAGAACATAATATCTCTTGGGCAGGGGCCCTCTTGGGTCGGGGTCCGTGGCATTTTGCCAGCACTGCCACTCTTATGTTACGCCACTTCCTACCCGCTCACAATTTTTCATACAAATGACAGTTAACGCATCGCGCGGAGTTTGCCAATCTAATGGCAACGATATGGTAATAAATTAATCTTGTAAAGTGATATTAGTAAAATAACTTGTAGTTAAAATAGTCATGATTTACCCATACACCATAAAAGTTATTATACTTTTTATTGATACCACTAAAAGTAATGATAAAACGTACCTATACAAATATAATAAAGATTTTTTAAACGTTATCAACGAATAAAATAGGCGAATAAAATTTATTTCCAAAATATTTCAGAAAAAAATCCCAAGCAGTACGCTGCCGTGGCAACCGCTAATTTATTATTTTATATAACATGGGGCAAACGGGCTGTAGGCTCACCTAATAGACACACATTGTCAGAGGGCTCACGAGCGTTGCTGGCCTTTTAAGATTGGTACGCTCTTTGAAGAACTCTAAACATAACAGGCCAATGACCAGAAGGCACACAGTGCGTTGCCTGCAGCGTTCTTACTATTCAAGTATCGCTTAACCGATTTTAATGTATTTATATAATGATAATATAGGGCATCAAGTTATTTACAGTAAAAATGTTAATAGTCTGCAAAACAGGTCATTTCATTTATATAAAATTTTTTTTGAATTTAAGTATCAAAACGAGACAGTCGAACTATAATGAAGTTACATCTTGTCAACATATCAAATAGGTTCTCAAATCCCACGATTCTTATATTAAGTATTTTCATAATCTGATTACGGCACTTATAATTAACTTAAAAATGTTCTTACGACTCGTTCAACAATAAATAAAACAATTGATAAAAAATACAAATTTATTTTAAAACTTAAACTAAACTTAAACTTAGAAATAGTAAAAACATTTTAAAAGTCAAAAGAGAACTAACACGTTCACATGACACAGTTAAAATGTTTCAAAACCAAATGCTAAATAAAAATTACAGAAAATTATAAAAAAATATTCAGCATTGAAAAACAGAAAAATACTTTTATAAAAAAAACGAGATCTCTTCTACGGTAATTATATTTTATTAAAAGATGTGTCTGTTGATAATGAAAGCCATAAAAGCCGTAAGCAGAATATAAAAATACATATCAATTATAAAAATCAGTCATTTAAAAAAAATCGCTAAAGGTATGAACTAGGGATGCATCGATACGCTTTTTTGCCGATACGATACCGATGCCGATACTCCTATAGAAATATCGCCGATACCGATACTAACGCTTATTGAACTCAAATTAAATTAAGGTTATATATTATATCAAGTTTGGTTAAAGTTTTTATTAGTATTTAGTTTTTATTATAAAATATAAACAGTCACAAACTTTGAATAAGATTAAAGTTTTAGTAAATAAAATTAACATTGATAAGATTTCTGTAATTCTGTATTTTATTTAATTTGGTATTGAAAAAATACTACGCGCGATAGCAGTTAAAAGCCTTAGTGTCTAGAAAAATGGAATACGCGGGTACAAAGCGGGTGTGAGGGGCATAGATAGTCAGTGCCTCGTTTGCAATGCCCCAGTTCAAACAAGATGCGCGTTTACATATATTTTTTTTAAGCGCGAAGTTTGAAAAGTATCGTTGTATCGGCAAACCCAAAGTATCGCCGATATATCGGTATCGGATGCATCCCTAGTATGAACCAACCCTTCCAAAACCATATTTTTTAATCTAGTAAAATTCGATTCCCCTCTATAAATAAAAATATTTAATGTTTCGAGGTTACACCACTAATGGTCCAATATTCGTTTATCACTTATTTTCTACAGAAAATCTTCTTAATATTTCTAAATATAAAGCGATTAAATACTGTGCGTTCTTCATTCAACTGTCAAAGCTTCGTTCTCTATAATCTGTGGTCTCACTGTAATAGCATCTTACAGATAGTGCTTTAAAACGCCTCGTAGAAATAACTGACAGTTAAAATATAAACCCAGGTTCATAAGTTACCGTGGCTTCATAATATCTAGTTTGATAATATCAAGACTTAAATTATCTCTCTGTCTTACAACTCTATGCCGTCATTCACACTCACACACATCCACACAGCTAATATAATGAAGAAAGCTACGCACACTTTCACATACAGCGGCGTAGACTCCTCTCGCCCCTCTGCAGCTTGTAACTGCAACGCCTGTGGACAATATCCCATTTTGTATCCATAGATTATAACCAATAGAATACAGCATAGATTATAAATAATATTTGTATTTATAATCTATGTTGATCAGATTTTTGTTAAATGTTAGATTTTAGGCATGTATAAATTACTTTTATACAGGACTATGTCAGTAAACAACCTCAAAACTGGTTGCCTAAGAAATAATTTTTTGAAGTTATACTTCTTTAGGCGCGTTATGAAAAATTTATGAGAGTGAAATTTTACGATGCGCGCGCACCGTGACACAAAATTCAGTATGGGCGCCGAGCGTGCGCGACCGAGATGGGAATAAGACAATCTACAAGTAAAAAGAAATAGAATATGCGTGACGTATGACCATAATGACATTTGTAGTACCTTTTAAACAAATAAAGCAGTTTAAATAATTTTTTCAAAGAAATGCAGCAATGCTTTTTCACAAAGACCTATTGTTACTTAGTTAAAAGGTTATGAAATATACCTAGTTATTAAATTAAATTAATAAAATAATAATTGTTATTAATATTAATTAATAATTCAATAATATACTAAATATTAAATATTGTTAAATTATTAACGCTAAATATCTATTATTAATTATTTAATATTTAAAAAAAAGAAAGCCAAAGAAGTATAACTCCTACGCGCGTACATAAGTACACGCACCATTTTTTTTTTTTATTATTTGTAATTGTTCTTTTCTTTACAGTAATGTAATGTTCCGGTCTGATCCTGAGATGGAAAATAACTTTTTTGTAATAAATTCTAATTTCGTCATTTAAAATCTATGTACCTCTGTGTAAAATAATTTTAGCATAGTTTTTATGTATAACAAGAAACTAAGATTTTGTATAAATATCGGTTTTAGCTGGAAATAAATACCACATAAGAGGTTAAAAAAAGCAACTGGAAGAATCCAGACAGCTTACTGAATTACAGAAGAATTACTTGTGCATCTGGAATATAATATATATAATATATATATATATATATATATATATAATATGTGCCTATAAGGTCAATTATTATTTATGCAGTCAACATTATTTATACAGAAATTCATAGAAATCTCAAACATGACTGAAAACAATTCTGAATTAAATTCCCTCGTTCCCTAATCCCTGATTAAAATCAACCCATCAAAATCATCTTAATATGACTTAAAAATTTGTGGATAGAGATACAATAATTAATTAATATAATTTGTTAATAGAATTAGATGTATATTCAAATAGCAAATAAAATAAAATATTTTAAAAGGAAAACTGCACAGAAATTACAATATAGGATACATAATATAGTTCGTACACTAAAATTAATTAAATGTAATTAAAAATTCTCCACGATATTTATGCTGTTTTCACCAATAGCCATTAAGATGTTGTGAAGGTTTTGTGGAAATTAGTAGGAATATGAATTTAAAAAAAATTAAACCCCTCATTTACGGCCTGAATCTTTAAATTTCTCTATTTAATTAAAGTTAAAAAAACGCTAATTTTGCTAACTTTACAAAATACGTACCTTGGCATGAAGTCCCTTATATTTAATAAACGGTTCAAGAACTACTTTCTTATTATTGGCGAACGCACGTACAACTGTTTTGGCAAGATCCCGACGGGTTAAAGCCACCAACGCGGATGTTTCGTCCAAAAACTGTACCAATATTTGACCTGAAACAATATTTTGTCATTTATATGACTTATAAGATAATATACTGATTCACTAAATTTCCACAAATAATAGAATATTGTATTTCCGTTTCGAAATTATAAATGTCAATAAATTTTTGTGTATTGTCAAAAAATACAGATAAATTTAAGAAAAATCTTTCCACTTTGTAATCTATAAAAGTGGACATATAACTTTAACATATAACATACCTCTTATAGCTTTAGAAAAAAATTCGATCGATTTTTTTTTATTATTATTATGAATATTTTAAATGTCGCTCATAAACATATTCAATGATAAGAGGCACTTTAAATATATTAATATTAGCATATTAGTGGAAATACATATTACTAATTTATCATTGATTTACAAAAAACCCAAGATGCACAGTCTCGAATAAAAGTAACGCTCGAAAGTGTCCCGAAACACTATTTCTGTCCCTTTCTATAACAGTATGTCTATAACAGTATATGTTACAAGCATATATTATTGCAAAATCAACCTTACGCGAATTGTTTAAAGTTGTTATTACAACGCAGTGTACTTAAAGCAATAAAATTTTACGACCGACCGTGGACGGTAGGACAAGGTATTAAGTGGAGTCTAACATGACTTTTTTATTTACAACTATTTAACATAATTTTAAATTTATCCGACGTTTCGCGTGCTTTACAGCGTGCGTGGTCACGGTGACTGAAGGCAAAAGGTGTTGGATGTTAAATAGTTGTAAATTTATAATAATACATAACTTTAATCCGGTTAAAAAGTTTTTTCTTTAAATTAAAAAAAAATGTTAAATTGGCTACCTCCTGACCTACACTTTATATAGCGTAAATATATTTGTCAAAAACTACACACAAAAAAGTTCAAAAGAACATAAATTTATTTATAAAAAAAAAACACACCAAATAAATAACATCGACTCCACTTATTAGAACAGGGTCATTCTTATAATGCGACTAAAATAAAAAGAAGACTTAATGCGTTGTTCTAACACTGAACAAGCAGCCATTGAAGTTGGCCGTATAGAAGTTTGTGCGTTGAATGAAGTTTTTTGAAAAAATAAATAAAAATCACACATTGCTTGTTATAATCAGTCATAAAAACAACAAAAACTAATCAATAAAGTTTTTTACTTACCGAAAATACGATATCCCATCCTTTTTTAGCCTTCTTGACGTAATATTTTTACAATTTCTCACAGAACACTTTGACATTTTTAACGACTGCTCCCAGACGCGAGCGACGCGAGAGTCGAGACTATTTGAAATGAGCGCACAATTTAGAATGTTGCGCTGATTTTTTGGGGACCTTTTGTTGGACGTTGAGTGTGCATCTTGGGTTTTTTTGTATATCAATGTAATTTATATACAATAAAATAATTACCATAAGCGCTAAACAATTGGTTAATGTCATTCCTCTGCCAATCCTTTGGAAACGTCAAATGGAAGACATGCTCCCTTGAAGGTGATGCTGAAATGAGAAATAGTGTCTGTTTTAGAAGTTTAACTTGTTTAGGCGCATAAGGGTAATTTTTTTACGGATGAAACGCAATAATAATAATATTCACGTCACGAAGATGTGCAGCGTTTTTGTCGAAGAAAAGGGTGAGAGCGATTGAGACCGAATAAGAGAGAATGTGAAAGGGCGAACGTAGCATGAAGCGAATATCCATTAAGCGAGAGAGATCGAGAGAGAGAGTGAGATAGAGCGATCGTCGAAACCGGCTTGCCTTGCACCCAAAACGTCGACGGTTTGTGTTAGGCACAGGAGGCTGATCAAATAAAATGATCATGAAACAGATACAGAAATCTGAGGCTCTGACTTAAAAAGGTTGTAGCGACACTGATTTTTTTTAAGTTAAAGACTTAAATTACTTAAAAGTCTTAAGTTAGGCTAGATCTTAATTTTAAATTATGCCTGCACTTACGATCAACACCAGCGAGGTTTATATACGGCGAGTCCTGATACGCAGTTTTTGCCAAAAACACTTTGTTTATGAAGGGCCGTAATAGCGCGCTGTCAGCTGTCACCCGTCGTGACTCTTCGCCGCGCATGCGTGCTAGATGAGCGTGCATAGATAAGAAACAAAGACCGGTGACGTATGCGTCATAGCCCGCCTCGTGTTGCTTGTCATCTGTTTGACAGTAACCCCGTCCATCGACTGAACCTAAAAACAGTAAATATAGGCTCATATTTGTCAAATTTTAACTATAGTCGAATTTTTAATTAGACGAAGCTATCTGACAGTAGCTAATGTCACTTAGTAAAATAATGTTGCCACATTTAAAGTAATAGTGATACATTCAGTTCTTGTTCAATCAGATGAATGAACAATGAGTGAGTGTGAATAGTTAATCATTTCAAACTATAAAATAATATTATTACTATTTTAAAATTGTATAAAAGATTTCTGATATAAGTTAGGTACTAGTAGTATGTAACTACAATCAGTTTTTTGACGGCTGTAATACAGAGCGCGGCGAGGCGACTAGTGCCAACACCGATCGACGCCGCGCGCGTCGGTCGCCATTTTGTTTGTCATTCGGCTTCTAACCTCTGGTCTGATAGCACGAATGTTTTTTCTGCGCTCACGCTGTTTAGTTATAGTTTTTGTTAAGTTTTTCATTACGTTGTGTTTGTGGTTATTGTTGTGTTTTTTTATTTCTATATTGTTTCGTAAAAACGATATGGATCCTCAACCAAGCACGTCAAGCCAAAGCTTGTCTCCAAGAAAGAAGAGACCACGGATTGCTTTAAGCGTTACCGAAAAAGTTATGATACAAAACGTCTACAAACACGTATTTGAGGAGAAAGCTGCTTTACTATTACCTATTGAGGCTCCCGAAAAAAAAGAATGTGTTTCGGAAACAGCTGACATTTTGGGAATTAGCGTGACCTCAGTTTACAGTGTATTAAAAGAATACAAAGAAAATGAACAATTTAAGTCTCCCGAGAAACGTGGACCGAAACACAATTTCAAAGATAAATTAGACGATTTTACTTTGGCCGCTATAAGGCGAAAAGTTCATAATTTTTTTATGCAAATGAGTCACCCACCATTATAAAGGTAACAAACTTTATTCCATCGACTGCATTATATTCTGTGTCCACAATAATGATCTTTGTAAAACCAAAGTATTAGATTGCGTAGACTTCCTTACTCAAAAACGTTTTTTTATTACTTCACAGATTCTTAAGGTTGTCAATGAAGACCCAGACTTACCCAATTTTTCTTGGAGTACATTAAGAAATGTTATGAAACATTTAAATTTCAAATATGTCACAAAATCAAGAAAAAGCATGTTAATTGACAGACAGGACATTATGTTATGGCGCCAGCGATACCTTCGCAAAATTAAAGAGTATCGAAGGGAAGGAAGGTATATTTATTACCAAGATGAAACCTGGATCAACGAAGGTAATTACAATTTTCTGTTTTCTTTACATTAAATTGTACTTTCATTAACTAATTGTTATTTTTCATTATCTTGTAGGTCATGCACCGAAGAAGGCATGGATTGACCAGACAGTGTTATCGACTCGCCAGGCCTTCCTAGATGGCCTGACTACTGGCTTAAAACAGCCTTCAGGAAAGGGCAAACGATTAATTATCGGCCACATAGGTGGGGAAGAAGGATTCGTAGAAGACAGCTTACTAATATTTGAAGCCAAAAAAAGTAAAGAAGACTATCATCAAGAAATGAATGCCGATTCCTTTGAGAAGTGGTTTAGTGGAGTCTTGCCAAAACTAAAACCAAATTCCGTTGTAGTGCTAGATAATGCCCCCTACCACTCCAGGAAACTAGAATCGCTGCCTAAAATGTCTTGGACTAAACCTAAAATACAAGAGTGGCTAACGAGCAAAAATATTTCATTCGAAGCAACAATGGTTAAAGCTACTCTTATAGACATTGTACGGCAGCACAAACAAGATCATTTCGAAAAGTATGTTGTGGACGAGATAGCAGCGCAGCATGAGATAATTGTTTTACGTCTGCCCCCATACCACTGTGAGCTTAATCCCATTGAGTTGGTATGGGCGCAGGCTAAAGGATATGTTGCAAAAAATAATAAAACCTTCAAAATGACAGAAGTAAAAAAACTTTTTGAAGAAGGACTTAAACTAATCACACCTGATAAATGGCGTAGCTGCGTGTCTCACATAATGAAAGAAGAAGATAAAATGTATGGTCTCGACGACATGATCGACAATGTTTCAGACAGATTTATTATTAATGTCACCGAAAGCGATAGTGATGATTTTTTATCTGATGATGAATAAAAACAAATTATGTAATAAGCGATGTTTATTATTTTCATTACCAACCTATAATTGTTATATTATTAAACATCTATAGTATAAACTACATGATATATTGAGAATAGGACAGTCTTACAAGTTTCCTCGCAATGATTTCCTTAATGTTAAAAACAATTGGTATTTAGTACTAAACTCGTTGGTATGTTCAAAGCACGACTAAAATTCGAACCCGTATCCGATATCGGCAGTACGCAACGTTAACTATTCACTAGGCAATCGAGGCAATTTTATTAATTCAGGAGTTTTTTCAATCATTCACAAATCATGTGACAAACACAACACTATTTTTATTTCATTAAAAACTGACAACACCGTAAACGTCAGTTGATATCGTCTAATTAAAAATTCGACTATAGTATTAATTTATTCGGCATTATAAAGCCACAACTTTAACTATATTTGTGTAGGCTTTAAAATAAGTATATAACTTTTCCAGGCCATGAAATTAGCAGCGAACAAAAACTAAATGAAAATGATGAAGATGAACTTTTTATCATAAACATTAAATTAGTCGAAACGCAGTTTTAACTAAAATACTATTCCGTCTCTCTTAATAACAGAGTTTGAATGAGTGCAGACATGACAATCTATCTAATATTATAATGAGGAACATTTGTATGTTTGTAACATATATACTCGAAAACTGCAGGCCCGATTTGAAAAATTCCCCCGCTATTACAATGCTACCATTAACCCTAAATAACACGCCGGTGTTTATTTCCAAAAATAAAAAAAAGTTTGTAGCACAGTGCATGATTTGACCTATAATAATTGTATGGGTCAAATCAATTGTATACCATATAGACACATTTGTAGTCATAGGATGCTATTGACTATATAAATGTAAAGAAATTATTATATTTCTTAGACTAGATTCTTTAGATTATTAATTATGTGTTAACTGATGTTTCATTTAATTTGTTTATAGAAAAGTCTGTGGAAAAGAAGCTAGTTCTGGCCTGTCATTTAAATTTTAAAACGAAGTTTGGATTTGTTTGTTGGTTTTGGATTATAAAAAAAATAGGATAAAAGTGATTGTTTTCAAGTAAAATAAAAAACTCTACATGTTGTTTCTCAAAATAGATATTTCAGCAACACATTTGAGTTTCATTCATCATATAAATATGACAAAATATTCGTTTATATAAAATCTATAAGTAGTTAATTTCGCAATTCGCGACAAATATATGTAAATATATGAAAAAGCAACCAACAAATTGGAAGTGCGTTACTCATTAAATCATCAATAATTTCACGAAGAAAAAGTTTCAATCAAATACAATTAACCAATATTAAAATATTATGAAATTATTCAATTGTAGTATATTTTTAAATGTTCACCTATATCTGGCAGTGAAAATGGTGGCTCGGATAACGTGGCTAGAAGATGCTGAAGAATACTTGAGTTTACCTTATCTTTAAATGGCGGTAAACTTGACATGTATTTCGTATCCAATATCCTGAAATTAGAAAAATAATATTTACACTAATATTTTGAAGGAGAAAGATTGTTTGTTTATGATGCTGCAAAACTACTGAACCAATTTTAAGTTGGAGTTCCGTATGAAAGCTTCGAAAATGTAAATCAATGTGTGATAAAAATACCAATAAATATCGCGTAGGCTATGGAAACAATAGAGCAAATGTGCTACAGTTTAGTCCAAATTATACATAAGTGTTACATGACGTGTAGCCTTGGCATGCCACTGAGGTTCAAAACCTAACCTAACCCAGACACAGCGCACGCTTTTAACATCACTCAGCCACACTCTGACGCACACACACCCATTCACACACTCATACACACTTTCATCACCAGACGTCAAGGTAGGAAACAAAATACCACCTCGACGTTCCACAACTAAGCGTTTCTTAAGGCAGTTTTTGCCGCCCACCACCACTATGTGGAACCAGCTGCTTGCAGTATTCCCGAACCAATTCCACTTAGGGTCCTTCAAGAAAAAGAGCGTGCCAAGTCATAAAAGGCCGGCAACGCACTTGCGAACCTTCTGGCATTGTCAGTGTCCATTTGCGACGGTATTACTTATATATATACACAATATGTATATATGTAAGTCACAGTATCACATATATTTGTATATCACTTATATTCCTTATGTTTTAAACATGCACCATGTACCACGGAAGAACTATAATCTAGCTACCCAAAAACCAGGGGCTAGTTTGACACAACCATATTTTGCTATGACTTTATTAATCATTAAATTTATTTTATTATATATAAATATTGTTACGACGATGGGTTGACTGAAAGGGTTTTTCGATTTCACCACCAGTTAGAGACGATTTCAGCAAGCTGAAATGTGATTTCTGACCATTTCAGGAGAGGGTCAATTACACATTAGAAAATTGTAATATGCATAATGTTTACCTCGTTTTCAGGAGGCTGAAACATTTTTCGAACAATGTCTGTGTTTGTTTGTTTTTAATGTTTTATTGTATAATGTGAAGCTGTCACTCCATTGTATGAGCCTATTGAAATCAGTGTTCCTGGCGCTAGCCACAAGAGGCAGGCAAGTTTTTGTTTATTTTAGTATGTTGCTGAATTTTAACCTAACAACATTCTTAAGTCAAAGGGATTAAATTGATCTTCGTTATATATGCGCAACTCTTGCTCATACATTACAGGAATATATGCCTCAAGAGTAGGGTTCAAGAGTAAAGACTTAGGAAGCGTTCAAGTATTCCGTTACGAATTTTTTTTCTTTTGTAAAACGTTACGATGCGGGGCGGGGATTGAATTACGCGTTATTGTTAATATTATTTTCTACTTACACCACATAATTAGTAACTTAAGAGTCACTAGGTGGTCACGAAACGTTTTACTAGATAGAGTACTGTACTTGGGTACTGAAAAACGTTACGGCGAGTTCATGGGGGAGGGGGGGTCAACAATCTCCAAAACTGCGTTACGTAATACTTGAAAGCTCCCTTAGCTGCTAAGTTTGATTTCGGTTCAAAGATACTTTTTTCAAAGACTTGACTTCCTTAATTAGCTGTGTCATTCATGCTAAATATTGACTCAGGCACAAAAGAACTATCTACTTGCTTAAAAACTCAACAATGAAACAAATGTAAAAAGTGAAAAATATCAGAGGATATCATTTATTTCTTTAATTACAGAACAATCACATAAAAACACAAACACACAAAAGTAAGAAGAAAGTCATGGGGTCATTGCCCCTTCACTTCACTAATACATAAGAAACACATAAGCGCGTGCGTAATATCCCACATGCATAAATATTATCTTTGACTGAGTTCACATGTAACGGACCGCCTTACTCCCCATAGGGAAATCACATTTTCCATAGATAAAAATCCCATACAACAGTACAAGATAAAAACTATATATTACCTCGGGAACATGCAGTGTGCAAATTCTTTGAAGGATGGATAATCAACTGGCAATGGTTGGAAGAAGTGGTTCAATGTGTGTAGGAGATCGAGTAACATATTGTGGCCTATAACTAGTTTTCCCTGAAATAAAAATATATTTAGGTAAACAAACGCAAACCACAGAATACAAGCCCTTAACAGTCTGGACTCTAAATGGTGCACAGAATGAAATAAAAGAAGTTTTTTTTCTCTCTTCATCTGTTGTGTATATATTATAATGCTTATCTTATCTTTAATTCTTAGTACATAATTGAATACATATGTATTGTGCTGTAGCTTTGCAGGTGCCAAGATATATGCAACAAAAAACCCTGACATACACAATTTCATTCAATCAGAACAGTTATTTGACCAACCGGTCGCATTGAACAGACAAATAATAAAAACAATCTCAAGACAAATGGAGCATAATATCCACGGTAAGGGCAAAGGCAGAAAGGGGCAGCTATTTATTAGATAGTACAATTTCAACCACAGATCTAAGCTAAAGACAGTAAACCCTGAAAGAACCTGGAGCAGACTTTCCCAGTCCTGAGGTTCAGCCTCAGTTAAGGGTTATTAAATATATGAAACAGTAATAGTTATAGACAAGTTTTTATTCTGATGACTATAATGACATTTTCTGATATATCAAAGTACCCTTACCGATTGACTAATTAATCTAGCAATTTTCGAGAATCCAACGGCTTCTTCTAAATCTTCCCATTCTTTCTCTTTCTTCTCGTCATCCTTATTCTTCCTTTCGTCTGATGATGACATTCGAGTTACTTTTAAAATCCTAAAATTTTTATGTAATGTATTTCGCATTGCATTAAAAAAATTAAATGAGTTTTGTCAGGATCATTTCTTTAAATATTTTTTTTTTTAATTTGAAGATAAAACAAAATAAGACGGGAAATAATTAAAGAAATATTGTACCTGTCTTTATTCTCCAAAACTTTAGTTTCCAAGAACACATCATTTTTAAATCGTGAGCCCAGCTCTTGGAAGAGCAGCCGTCGCACAAATGCATTACATCTATCAACTTCCATCTCATTTGTCTTATTCTCTTTGACAAATACACCAACTTTCTTACTGTAATAAATTTATTTACAAATAAAAATAAATCAGTTAGTGATTATTAATTTTAAATCTAAGCCACCTCTTAATATTATTTATAATTATGTGAAATACATGAGTATGGTACAAATACAAGGCAGATCAATTTGGCATTTTTAGTACATATAGGCAAGTTAACATATCTTCCGGTTGTATACCTATTGCTGTGTTTCATCATATATTATAAATACCAGAAAAAGTAAGCCTTTGCAATTATTATTTTACAAGTCACATTACTCAAAAATATCATTGTATGTAAATCAAGAATGTTTTATCTGTAAAGCTATAAACACGTCAAAAACAAATGGATTTATTACTGAATTTATCTTTTAGAGTACTTAGCTCCCATATAACATTTGCAACAAACAATAAGATTACAGTTTGAAGGTATTGGGAGACTGGTTTCCAAACTAGGTAAGAACCTGTAATATTGGATAACTAGGCTTCCATTTCACAGAAGTCATATTGAGTGGTAACAAAAAGTACATACATATATTATGGGTAGGAAAACAAATTTAATGTTTTAAATAAGGAAAGAAAAAACAAAACAAAAACAGTTAACTAGTTAGAAGTTAGTAGAAATAAAGTTGTATGGGTGTATAGGGTGTGTATGATAGAGGGAGAGGGTATGTATGTGTATGTAAGTGCGTGTTAGGAGGGTGTGTGTGGGTATGTGTCAGGCACACGCCTGAGAATATATTTGAAAATTATTTTAATACATGTAGTAGATTTTAAATTTGGTCATAGTTCAAAGTAAAAAGTAAAAATTTATGAACTATTTGCGTTACACATTTTTTAGTTTTAGGATATATATTCAGAGTTTTGTTAAGTTTCTTATACAAGTAGCAGCCCAGAAAAGAGAAATTATCGCAGAATAACAGCGAATGTTGCTTAAGAACAGTGTATAAGATAAATAGTTGTTGTACTTTAAGTACAGAACTGTTTTTATAAACTTCCAAAGTAGGGTAACAAAAGGGAAGAGACAATGAGGTTTTAAGAACTGCTTGTTGGCCTCCACCGACCACTACTCAGTAAATTAACAATACACCATTCTAATTGTAGTGGAATAAACAATCCCATGCAGGCTCTTGAGTAAATAAAAGCAATTTAACGTATGAAAACAATTATTTTCTATGATTCAAACCCAGTTAAAATGCAATGTGCTTGCTAACTCGTTTCAGAGCACTTCAACACAAAACACAATTTTCCAAAATTTTTTACTTACCAGATATCTTCAATCTGAGCTTTACACTCATCAGGAATAGTTATTGTTCCCTTGTCATTGGAGTATGATTTTTGCCTTTCAGTCAGGTTTTCTCTAAGCCTAGTCTCTGTTGGTTCTGTCATATATGATATACCTAAAATAATTTGTGATGATTTTAAAATAGAAATAAATTAATTTTTAACTAAAAGTTATATTCTGGTTGAGGACTGCTTGGTGTTATAGTAAAGAAATGCTTAGAAGCCAGGGCAGGAAAGATCTATTATTTTAACAATTGGATTTTGTTATCAAGATTATCATTAAATAAATATAATAAATAATAATAAGTTTCTTATTTGAGACTAGTCAAAATAAACTAATTACATATATTAACAATTTATATTTATCATTGCAAACTAGTTTATGTATAATAATTAAAGACCAGATTAAATAAATCATAAAACACACAATATAGTTTTTTCCATTTTATTTGTAAACTTAACTGTCAAATATATTTTTATAAATAAATGCTTACCTTCTCTAATCAATTTATTAAAGTCGAAACCTTGTGAAGCAAGAAAATCCAAACTAGAACTTTGGCACAGAAACATTTTGTCAGGTCCTGGGCGCCCCCTGGGATATAAGTAGAAGTTATACGCATCGTTCTGGTATTTTTTCGTCTTCTCATCCCAAGTAAATGCACATAACCCGAACTGTATTAAAAGAAACTCTGTAGAACCGTTTAACAGTGTCAGATAGTACTCTTCAGGAGAATCAAACATAGACACGTCTTTGCCATTTATTAAACCCGTGAACTCGGCGTCAATTACGAGAAAGTCTGCTTCTTCAATAGATTCAGATACTAGAGGCAGCACCTCTTTAAAATCTGAAATAAAACAAAGTAGTATAGTGCATGGAATTGATTGAAACGTGGTTTGTATACAAAAAATTACATACTATTGCGAGTCACTTCCATTTTTAATATAGCAGCATATGTCTTGTAAAGGCAGAATAAAATCAATATGCTCATTAAATACTAATTGGGACTATTTATTCGAATACAAAATGCATGACTTCACCGCAGAGGCGAGCTATTTGCCTCTTTAGTATTTAGCTTGAAAGTTGGGATTTGTATTTGTTTGACATTTAAAAATTAAAATGATTGGGATGTTGACTAGTGTCATTGTTGATTTAGTGTGTAGTCTGTGAATTATAAATATGTTGTTCTTTGACAAAATCTCACATTTAACATGCTTCCTTGGGCTTTTATATATTTAACCGTTTAACGTGTGTAAATTAAACCGTTAGCGGTTAGGATGCTCAGCTCGGACGTTTCATAAGGCATTGAATCTCAGGTCTTCGACAAAAACACGTCCGACAGGCTATCGTTAGTCGGACCAAGTGTGCTTGCTGTCATTTCCATAAACACAGCCGTATTTTCTATTTTGACCCTTGATAGGTTAGGCCTATACTTTTTTGGTCTAGCGCCCTAGTTGCGGTTCTACTTTAATTCAAAGTAGCTACTTACGATTTGTGATGAAGTAAAAAGAACAACAATTTTAACAAATCTTTATTTAGGTACTCCATTAGTCAGTAAGTAGTAACACAATAAAACATAATGAGTTCATTATTTTAAATGAATACTTAAAAATCAACAGAACATAATATTTCTCCTTTGTGGGGGGAGCGTTCAAGTATTACGTAACGAATTTTGGAGAGGGGGTTTGGGGATTAAATTACGCGTTATTGTTAATATAATTTAGACTTTCCAGTACATTACACCACATAATGGTAACTTTTAGATATATAAAGAATCACTAGGTGGTCACAAAACGTTTTACTATACTTGGGTACAGAAAAACGTTACGGCACGTTACATTGGGTGTCAATAATCTCCAAAAATTGCGTGAGATAATACTTGAACACTCCCGTCAGTGTTCAATAATTCTATTTTTGAATAATCTTTTCTAAATGCGAAGTCAGTTTCTCATACGCCGCTTTATTCCTATAGAGGTGTATATTTGTTTTAACTTTCTTCATGAGCAAACAGGGGTCTAAATCACTGAGGGTCAATAAGGCATCTGAAAAAAAAATGAGATTGGTCAAACGGAAAGTTGAGTCGTATCTGTGGAATAAAATGCCAAATCATAACCATACGAGGCATTTTATCATTTATATTTTTTCTTCTCACGCGTTTTTGAGAATTTAGACCATACATATTACTCAGGAACAATGTAGCATTTTAACGGTGCAGATTAAAAAAAAACGGACCAGTAATTTTTTAGTTTATTAGTTACAAACATACAAAACTTTCTAATATTATTATAGGTACGACCCATAGTTCTATCGCTCGGTAAATATATGATTATCATGGGCATTATGTATCAGAGTATATTTTGTATAATAATACTAAAACCATACCAAGCATCTCCTTTCTGAACGCTTCATCAGTATCATCTAAATGTATAAGCATGGCACTGAACAGTGCATCAATATGTGCGCTAAAAACTTCGCTGTTGTACAATTGCGGGCGACATTTAAATAGAGTACAGAGTGTCTGAACGGCGAACGAACGAACTTTGTCATTGCTGTCATCTAAGCGTTTTAGCGCAACTGTAAAATAAATGGCAAAAATAGTTTTACCTAGTGGGAAAGGTTTTAAATATGTCAACACTACATCCTAGAGATTCAGTGCAGTGATGCCAACATTGGGTTTTCCCCCCAAATATAGGGGGGATTGAGTTGTCCTGGGCTTTTTAGAGGGTACATTTATTTGGGGAGTACTTAATACAATTTTTTTTTTTTCTTAAAAACTGCACGATTCTATACAATTTATATTAATCTTATAACCCAACCAACAAAATAATCGAAATACTAGGGGGAACATTATGTAACGAGGGAAATACCCCAAATTGTATTTATTATGTTCATAATAATTACATTCGCGAAACTGTTTTTTTTTTTGTTAATATTATAATATAATTATTGTGCAAAAAGTGCAAATAAATGTGAAACTAACCAAAATACAGTTTATGCAACATTTCCACGGTGAAGCAATCCTTCTGTTTTGCTCTAGAAGCAAGAGAGCATACTGCTCTTAATGAGTGTTGCCTTGTCAATGCGGAGTTGTCATCCACTAATCCAGCTAGCAAAGGAACTAACTCCTCAAGAAAAGGTTCCAATGACTCTTTTGTTGGAAAGAGATTCACTTCCTGTAGAAAACCAATATACACAGATAGTAAACGTGCGTTTCAACTCTGCGTTCACCAATAAAAACGTCGATATAAGCCAAGCTAATCATTTGGCTAACTATAACTTGTGTAAAGAAAAATTACTACTAAACGAAGAAATATACATTTCGGTTTACTGATCATTTATTTTTAATGTCGAGTTTAAACGAAATATTAATTCACACATAAAACCGCCTTCGATTCTCCGAAGAAAAAAATATAAATCACACAAATTCACTATTGAATTGACATTATCTTATAACCTACCTTTTTATCCCCATCTCCCTTATCATTGTCTTGTAAGGCAGCGCAAAGACATGCAACAGCTGCCGTACGAACCGCCTCAGCAGTGCGGCCCGGAGACCAAACTAGGTTCGGCAAAAGTATCTCTAATAGAGAACATAAAGAATTAAGTGGAGAATTAATAACAATCACACAAACGCCGATTTTTAACCAACTTAAAAAAAAATATGATATAGGCTTCTAAGTATGAAACGCGGCTTCTATAGACTATATATTAAATTCCATAAGTGTTTAATAATATTTTCGTCCACAAATTTATTGGAATCGAAAATTTATATCAGCTTTCGATTTAGATATATCTAATATTCAGATTTAGAATACATTTTCAAGTTTCATTAAAATCGATTTAATAGTTTCTGAGGTTTCATGCATTTCTAACATGTATTTCATTTTCCAATTCTTAGAAGGCCAGCAACGTACTTGCGAGCCTTCTAGCAATGTGAGTGTCTATGGGCGGTGGTATCACTTAACATCAGATGAGCCACCTGCCCGTTTACCTCCAACTACTACTCAACCTTCAATTATATCTTACATAAAAATGATCTTTTAAACCAGTAAGTCATTCCGACAAAAATACAAACTCTTCAGTTCTTATACGTAAAAAAATATTACCTTGAATAACAATCCTCAAGAAAGCCTCTAACTTATCAGGCTCGCATTTACTAAAGTTTGTCTCTCGTTGCAGCAATACATTAGACAAGGCGGTGAATACTTTTAGTTTCACTTCGGGGTCCACTTTTGGTACAGCGAGACATTCACGTAGAAGTGGCGCTATTAGATGCAACTGAGTTCCCATTGCAGAACCTAAATAAGACGGTTATGTCAATAAATGTACCCCCTAGGACCAAATTAAAACCCCTAAAGTTTTCGTTTGCCTTTAAAAATACATTCAAGTAGAATAAAATAGCTGTTATTCCGATCTTGGAGTATTATGGCTTTTTGATATTTCTCTTATGGCTACGCTTGGCATTTATATGTGGTTTAGTTTGTTGGTTGGGTTCGAGGCTCAAATCTCCAATAGACATTTGATATAATATATTTGTAGAATCATGCGATTTAAAGAAATAAAACATTTGGTGGTCTGTTACGGACGATAACGTCATAAGAAAACAATTTTCAAATAATGCATACTTTTATGAATTGAATTGAATTATTATCACTAAAAAATCATTATTTTGTGTACTACAAACAAGGAGTGAATAGAAAATTATTATTTTTTTTGGATAAATTAACATATATTTGCACTCGTTAATTCAAACATATTTTTTTTACTTAAATTATATAGATTAATTACGGAACATGACTACGAGTCATATTTTTTCGAGCGTGCAGCCGGCGTTCATCAATTTAAGACGTTATCCCGTCAAAAAAAATATTGAATAGAGTACCCTCTAAATCATTGGGGTACATATTTTAACGACTAAAAAACCCTAGACATTTTGATTCCCCCTTTTTTTGGGGGAAAAACACCCAAGTTGACTTCACTGCCCTGCACTTTGTACCATATAAATAGTTTAAGATTGTAAGCCCTACCTACCAAGTACTGTGTCATTTTAATAGTTAATTTTATTCCTAAGTATAATATTATTTTTGTCATCTAAGTGGACGCTACTGCGGTAGACAGAAAACAGCAATCACCGCCATGTTCCACCGCGACATTTCTGTTGTATTTTTATAATATGTTATACAATGATATATAGTGTATATGAAACAGGTTTTATTGACGACTTATAAAAATTTGTTTTTGTGGGTTTTGATATTATCATCCTCCAAATTTCTTTTAAGGGAAGATTTTCATATTCCTACACAAAATAGAAATAGCTTTGAAATTACCTGATTGTAAAAGTATGCATTCCAACAAACACCTATCCGGTGTAAGCAATGTCCAAGTCAGGGCGTCACTAGTGATATCTGACAGGACACGACGGATGTGACATTCGTACAAAGACGTTAGACTATTACACTTCTCTATTTTTCGCAACTTGTCTAGGTTCGCTAAAAATATGAAATATTCCAATATTTATTCACACTTTATCGAATATATCACAAGAAAACATACAATCAAAACAATTACGTGCAACCTCAAAAAAAACAACGATTTAAGTATCTTTTAAAATATATAAAAAACTTGTTTTTTTTCTAGTTTATTTCAACAATGAAATACGAAAAAGTTCTTACACAAAGCCATGAATTGCATGTTGTCATCTACAGGCATAGCATATACTGTAAAGTTGATGGTGAAAAGATCTTCTGCGATAACACAACAATCGTCCTTACAAAGATCCATCAATGCATCACAGACTTGTAAGAGATTCTTTTGGTACTTTGGCTGTGAAGTGTTTATCTATTTCAAATCTTATTCTATGTTCAACCTATTGACTATTAAAATTAACAGTCAATAGGCTAGGCCACATTTAGTTCCACTTTCGACCCCTTTAAACTCGAAAACGAAACTCTTCAAACTGTCATAGGCAAACCACAACGTTGATGGTGTTTCCCAATGTTTAATAAAAAACAACAAGTACAACGGAAGAGTGACAATAATAATATGGATTAAGCTGTGACTGACTCAAGCAATTTATTTTTAAAGAGGTATTTTTTATGTCACATGTTTCATCTTTTTTATTTTTGCCACATATTAACTCTGTCGTACGATTGGCCTAAGCATTAGCCAGCCAGTATATTAAATGTTGTTACAAACGCTACGGCTGAATATCTTACAGGCCGCTAGTTAACCGGCGCAGTATAGTTAAAAGGCTAGGCTGTTAATTTAACGGCTTATTAACCTAGTTGGCTGCGTCACATACATTAAACTTTGGGTGATAGAGCTATGAATGTAATAATCTAAGACCATACGTGGTATGTTTAATCGTCTTGACTCACTCACTTTACGAACTCGACATCTATCTGGGTCTGCCATTTCTTTGCACAATTCCTTCATTACTTTCCCCTTGACCAAATCTCTTTGGGATCCTCTGAGGATGTTAGCAATCACGAAAAGTGCACTCCAAGAATCTACCTCTGCTTCAAGCAATGGCCACCAGGTATCTGGGGTTATGAAGTATCCAAAAAGTTCAGAAGCACGCTTTATCTGGAATTATAATTTATTTGTAAGAAATCTTTACAGTGAAGTGAATCTCTTTATACGTTATATGATAAAATAGTAAAAGATAAAGATATTTACATTACAAAATTCTGTATCAAAAAGCAAACACAAAAGACAATAATTAAAGAGTCTTTGCAAAGAAACGAAACATTTTAACTTTAGAAGCTTAAAAAACGTCAACCCTTTATTAGAGAAATGATAGAAGAAAGAAATAAAATATACAAAAAGTAGAAACAGCTACGTCACCCATTTTAAAATATACTAAAACCTTGTTATCAGTTATAAAAACCAACCTCTTGGATAACTCTCTGGTCATCATCTGAGGCGCCTCTATGCAATGTCCTTACAACTGTATTAGCATGCTGAGTGGAACCCTCTTCAGCACAAAGCAATAACCAGCAAAGTAACTGAGAGGAACGGAGACGAGCATCTGGCTGCCACCCTTCCATCTCTACAATCGTTATATTCAGTGTAACTTGATAATAAGAAGGAAATATAGTTTAAACGGATTCCCACGCTAATTAAATAAAGCTAATATATATTTAAAATAAATATACTATATTATATATTAGTTATCACAATTTTTCTACCCGTGAAACAGAACGAACATCTTTAGGCAATGGATAGTCGTTTCAATTTTATCGTAATGCAAAGTAATAATAAAATCATCTTGTTTAAACGTCGTCATGACCGTGCAATTGCTATATTACCATAGATAGGTATCGATTGTGGAGTTAAAAAGAGTTATTAAAATATTTTTTCCCTCTCTTAATAATAGTAACATAATATTGGACTCAGGAGCCTGAGACAAAGACACTCTGCGACAGGCGTGATATAAACGAGCTTGTATGGTCACGTGACGAAGCGTGAGCTAATGTCATTATTTCTATGCCTCTTTCTCTATGAACGAATTCATTTCACTGTCGTAAAGCATTTTAGGCTATTTTCTTGCAATTAGTAATTACAATAGTTATTACTAATTGAGATTACCTCGTCCAATTGCTGGTACAATTTTGCCAATATTGCTCTGCACAAGCACCCTACATCCCAAATTGGGTCTTTTGACATCGGGATAATGACTAGGAACATCTTTGAGAAAGTCAGTCTTTTTTTTTAGGTCTTCTTCATTCTCTTCCATGTACTGCAATCCTATATCTGTCCAAAGTTTTGTGGCTGTTTCCCTTACATCTGCCATCAGATCACTTAAGCTGAAAATTAATTTATAGTAAAAAAATTGAATTAAATATATTTGAAGTCCTAGCATGTAGCAGGCACAATTCTGCAATGGTTTCGCGATCAGTATCGTTATCGCTTTTGAACATCACAAATAACCGGCGCAGTTGATCTGTCTTCCGTTACTTGGTCTGAAATGTTTTTCACTTCACCACTTTTAGCCATGTTTATATATCATCATATTATAGGTAGGCATTTAACTAATCATATATTAAAATTTTTAGATTAACAATAATCAAGTTTAAAGATTTTATTTCTGGATATTACCCATTTGTGCAACAAATTTTTATTTAAACTGAGACTGAACCTACAAACTGAGGGATGTGAGATAGCTGAAGCCACTAGTTAAACAATTAATCTTAATTTAAAAGAATGTTACATTGTTTTATGATTTACCTTGTTAAAAGTAGTGGTATCATGCGATGCCAAAAAGAGTACCGATCTCTATAAACTAGCATCCAATTGCCAACCTCTAACGTGACTTGCAAACGAACTTGAGTGTTCTCATCAAACAGCTTTTCTGCCATTGGTGTGATTGACAATTCAAAACACTTAGCATTGCCTGACAAGACAATTGCACCTGAAATTATAAAGAATAATTTCCAAAAATTATAAGAATGACATTATGTAAGTTAAATAACAATATAGAATCAAAAGAAACAAAAACTATTAATTAATATATCAAGACAAATTGTTTAAATATACCTATAGCTCTTATAGATGCCACTCGCACTCTAAAATGTTGGTGGGCAAAATTTGATAAAACTGGTTTAACATAACTTTCAGACTGAAAATGGAAGTCCCTTTGCAAGATTTTAGTTATCAGTATGATACATTCACAAGCCTCCAACTTTACTTTAGGGAAGGGATCTGTGCTTGTCTTTGTTAAAATACTTGTAAAATCATTCATAAATGAACTTAACAGATGAGTCCCCTTATATTTATCAATAATTATGTGGACAAGTTCAATGAGAACCAAGCGAATTTCTTCAGATTCTTCAACGATCTCCGGACAACCTATGCGTCGAACAATTACAGGCAATATATACGTAAGGTAGTAATCATTAAGAGGTAAATGTTGAATAAAGTTAGACATGATAGCAATTGCCTTCTCTCTACAAGCTTCTGACTCATCTAAGAAACTTTTGAGCACATAAGCGTATATATCAGGAAAGACTACAGTTAAATCACAATCAGAATTTTGTGGGTTTTCAAAAATTTCTTCATAAATCTTCTGTAAAGCATGTTTCCTTTCCAGTTTTGATTCACTTTGCAGTGTGGTTATATGCTGCTCTAATGCAGCCCTTGGATTATCCTGAAGCCTTTTCGTAAGACTAGTCATTTTAAAAGTATCAATATTCAAAAATTCTATTTAATCGATACACCTTCAACAAAATATTAATTAATCGATCATAGTAATTTGGTATTGATAAACAAAAGTTGTTACCATGACAACATTTCATCACAGATTATATAATATTATTTAAATCGTGGGGAAATGCGACACTCCCGTGGCACGGTAGCCATCTTCTTCAGCTCTTCACCATCAGGTGAGGAGTTATGTGGGACTCGCTGTTCAAACCCACTAGAACCTCACGGTGCCACCAGCAATCGCCCGGCCACAATGATGTGGAAATGGCCCTTGGGACAGCAAGGGCCATTCAAATCGCCCTGTTTTATAAAGCTGGGAGAGTACAATACTTGCAGGGATGTGTCAGCATCTCTTCTTTTGGACGCATGAACTTCTGTTCCCCCACTGAAGCTGCCCAGGTTTACACAAGGCGTTGCACGCTGTAACGGCGACGCGGATGTGCAGCGGAATCCCATGGCCCTCTCCGCCTCCTCTTTATGGCGCATGATGGCTTCGCAGAATCTCTGGAGGATATCCTACATGCCGTCACTGTCCGAGCTGCAACTCTCACAATGTTATCGAGAATAGCGTCCTCGGTCCTCCGCCTGTAGCACGGCCAGTAGAGGCCTCATTTCCACCTGCCATGCTCGGCAATCCTGTAAAGTGTGGATCGCTTCATCAACAACGCCGGCGTCACAATTTTGGCAGGTTGGTGCCTCCTCACGCCCAACTACCTTGTGTAAATAGCTGCCGAAACAGGTTCTCAGCATTTTGGCTAGAATCAGAATCTTGAGATACTTAACATAAAGAAGTATCTTAATAAAAATAAAGTATTCTATATTATATGTTTAAAAACAAATCAAAATATTGATTTTAATTTTTTTTTGGGTAATACCTACCTACCATTCTTCAAAAATTTTCAAAGAAAAAAAATGTATGTATAATATAAAGTTCTTTACGAAACAAACTTTGAAATAATTATGGAAACAACGAGATTGTTTTATCAGACAATTTATCTAGACCGAACTAACCGCGTTTTGCGTTAACAGAAACGAACTTTAAAAAGTTACGTGCACCAATCACAGCCCGCCAAGTAAAATTGTCAACGTCTTCGTTTTGATGAAACGCCGAGAATCGAGATTCTTCTTCAACCTCAATCACATTTACGATTTTCTAAAATTCAGGTGTTTTGTTGTGTGAAAGTTACTTCATATTTACAATCAATAAGCATAAATATGTATAAATACAGTGTGTTTTGTTTTTTATTTCTTGCAACTGTCGTTCAGAAATGTTACGCGTTGAAAGAAGGCGAATGTGAGGTTTGTATTAAAACTGTGGATAAATTTGCAGCGACGTTATCAGAAAATGTTAAAAAGGACCCAAAATTAATAGAGGCCGAATTCAAAAAATTCTGTAAAGGGTCAAAGAATAAAGAGAACAGGTTTTGCTACTATTTAGGTGGACTAGAAGAGTCTGCCACCGGCATCCTTGGTGAGCTATCAAAACCCCTTAGCTGGTCAATGCCCAGTGATAAAATTTGTGAAAAATTGAGGAAAAAGGACGCGCAAATCTGCGACCTTCGTTTTGAAAAGCAAATTGACTTAAATAATGTTGATTTAAAGAAATTGAAGGTTAGAGATTTAAAGAAAATTCTGAATGATTGGGATGAAAACTGTGATGGTTGTTTAGAAAAAACAGACTTCATCAAGAGGATAGAAGAACTAAAGCCCAAATATATGGGTAGATCTGATCTGTAATAGCTAAAATACAGTAGGTATGTAATTTTTAATAGTTGTCATAATACTTTAATTTTGTCCTCCAATTTAATAGTATGTATTTTTAAACTGTTATAAATCCTGTGTTGACTTTGTTTAAAAATTGTAATCTAATATTGAAATGTACAATTTAAATTTTATATGAAGAATTATGTAATCTTAAACTATTCTTTTACTTTGATAGTTGAACTAACTTGACTTCTAAATCTAAGTTTTAAATAAAGCACTATTGTATTGTTTCAGGTAAATTAACTCAAGACTTTGTGATACATCATCATAGACGTGGGAGTGTATTTGGAGTATTTAACTTTACTACTTGAATGAATGTTGCGTGCATACACAGTAAATTATTGTAATCTAAGTAAATATTTTTCATAATCAAGAATTTTATTTCCTTTATTTCTTCATACAAATTTATTTAGTACTTGCCAGAACTGGTGTAGAATCTTTTAGGATTGAGAATTGGCAAATAGTATGTTTGGTATGATACAATAAAATTTCTTTAAATAATGCTTATTTTAAATAAATTTTGTTTCTACAATTATTGGAAATTAGTCAAGTTATTGAAAATTTCCTAACAAATTACATGTACAGGCTATACCTATTGAAAATTTAGTATACTGTTTACACTATTTAATCTTGATCAACACCTAATACACATTTTTGCAAGTTACAATATAAATAAAGAACAATGTAGAATGTTGAATCCGAGTTTTCCATTGATTAGTGGTATTTGTAGTTCCTGTGGTGCTCTGAAAAGAAATAGTAAAATAATAAGTTGATAAACCTAACATTAAAGCACTTCATAAAGATTATTTTAAATAAATACTAGTTGTAATTGTAATCAGATTAAGAATAGAAAAGCACCAGACATGTCTTATTATATAGGTAAACAATGAAATGATTACAACTTACTCATTTTTCCATAGTTAATTGCGTAGAAGAACACCATGTTAGCAACAATAAGTTGGAAGAATGGAGCTATTCCAACACGTTTAGGTTGCACATACTTGTGCTGCCACCTCCACCAGGCTGAAATGTGAAAAATTTTATTTTTGTCAGAGGTAACATTTTAATTTTCAATTAAAGTTTTAAATCTCTGGTATATTCACATTGGCTGCCATCCTATTGAATCACAAATCTGCCTATACAAGCATGTCCCATGTTACAGAATATAAACCCCTATAGATATGTTGATAACATGTTATTTTGAAGTGAAACTTCTTTAGGCACATCTGGGTAAAATTTTACGGATGAAACGCAATAATAATATTAGCGTCACGAAGATGTGCAGAGTTTTTGTTGAGGAAAAGGGAGAGAACAATTAAGACCGATTGAGAGAGTGAGGAAGGGCAAATGTAGCATGAAGCAAATAGCCATGGAGTGAGAGTAGGGAGCAAGATCAAGAGAGAGAGTGAGATAGAATGAAGGTCGCATCACACACAGTGCTATGAAGCAGAGGTGGGAGAGAGGTATAGTGAGAGAGAGAAATATAGGGAGATCAAGAAAAAATACATGCTATTGGTTTATGTATTTGTTTAGTTAGTTACATATTAGAACTTTTGATGGCAATTCTGTTGCAAAACTTCTTGTGCAGTAAAGGCATGGAGTTACCATATTATATTGGTATATGAACATCTATTGATGGTTTTACCTTAGTAATAATTAATTTACAAAGAAGTTTCACTTCTGATATGTGTACTTTGTATGCACACACTTTTTTAAAACAACACAAAAACTAAAAAGCATTTATTTACCATGGTAATAATATTAATTCTATTTTATAAATCGTCATAATAAATATTTTAAAACTGAAATTGTTTATATTCTAAGTACTTTTCAAATGTTTTTTTTTTAATTTCAGTATCAAACTTCCATTTGATAAGATATTTTCATTAAATCTTTTTAAGGTAACATAATAAATAAACATAATTATGTGTATGATCTATAAGATTGTGTGAATTGTATAACACATTTATATTGTTGCAACTTAGTAGACTGTTGGTCAATACGAAAAATAACCTAAAATAAAATAAAAAATTATACAATTTTTTACCTCGACTAATAGTTCCCATGAATGCAGAGGGAGTCTTGTTACGGCGTCCCAGCCATGATCCTATTTCACTTAACTTCAACTGACCGAAGGGGGTATCAGCTGAAAACAAAAGTTAAATTACATAATCGAACACTACTTCAAATGATACTTGCTTCAGAAAGAACTTACGTTTGCCATAAAAACGAGCAGGATCGTACGGGCCGTGGACCGATGGGTTGTATTCTTTCGGATAGTCTCCGAACCCCATATTTGCAACCGAACAGAGTTTTTTATGAACCTACTGAAGAAAACTCTGAAAAATCAGGCAGATATAAGAATTCAGAATTCTGCCTGCGCCCTTCGTCCGTCCCGTTCTAACAGACGAATTACTGAATGTTACTTTGACAATTGGCACGCCGACCGTTATGTCAGTTGTCAATGAGCAAAAAAAAGTAGATTCCTTCCTCAATGTCCAACACTATAATTTTAATACAAAAGAGAAAATATAATGTAAGTCTCTATTATCTATATTTTTAAAAACAATAATATATACGTTTCAGTATCTTGCTATTTTTCTTTTTAAGTCTTATTAATTGAAATTTACTGACAATCTACAGAATAACTTTAAATATAATATATAACTATGGATGTACCTTGTGCTGTTTAAAGATTTCGTGTATCTGTAACATTAGACAGCAAAAATTTTTGTCATTGTCAGTAGAAACAATTCTGCTTAGTGGATTAATTTATCGACGAAAAGAAACAAAGATTTACTTTGAACGTTTAAATTAATTATCAACCAAGATGGTATTGGAGAGTACTATGATTTGTGTAGATAACAGCGATTACATGAGAAATGGAGACTTTTTGCCTACTAGACTACAGGCCCAACAAGATGCGGTAAATTTGGTATGTCATTCAAAAACACGATCAAATCCTGAGAATAATGTTGGATTATTAACTTTAGCTAATGTTGAAGTATTAGCTACTTTGACCAGCGATGTTGGACGCATACTCTCTAAACTTCATAGAGTGCAGCCAAATGGTAATATCAACATCTTAACTGGTATCAGAATCGCGCATTTAGCTCTTAAGCATCGCCAGGGAAAGAATCACAAGATGCGAATTGTTGTCTTCGTTGGTTCCCCTGTAAGTACTGACGAAAAAGAACTTGTTAAACTGGCCAAGAGACTCAAAAAAGAGAAGGTCAATTGTGACGTAATTTCTTTTGGAGAGGATTCAGATAATAATCCTCTACTCACAACATTCGTTAACACTCTCAATGGAAAAGACAACACGACAGGAGGTAGCCATCTAGTGTCAGTACCAGCTGGAGGATGTGTTGTATTATCTGAAGCTTTGATCTCTAGTGCAGTTATTGGTGGGGATGGTGCTGGCCCATCTGGATCTGGTTTATCACCATTTGAATTTGGTGTTGATCCCAATGAAGATCCTGAGCTTGCTCTTGCTCTGAGGGTGTCTATGGAAGAACAAAGACAGCGTCAAGAGGAAGAGTCTCGGCGCCAACAAGCAGGAACAGAGGGTGAAGCACCCAAAGCTGGGGAAGCTCAAGTTACTAGTGTAGCTCTTGACCGTGAACCAATGGAACTATCAGAAGAAGACCAGATTGCATTGGCAATGCAAATGAGTATGCAACAAGATGCCCCACAGGCTGAAGAAAGCATGGATGTTCCTGAAGAGTATGCTGAAGTCATGAATGATCCAGCATTCCTTCAGAGTGTCCTTGAAAACTTACCTGGTGTTGATCCTTCGAGTGAAGCCATCAGAAATGCTATGTCCACCATCAAGAAAGATAAGGATGAGAAGGAAGATAAAGATCAAAAGGATAAGGATGGTAAAGGTTCTGGTTCCAAGGAAAATTGAAAGATATTTTTCAATTTTTTTATTTAATTATGCTCGTAACTTTGTAACAATTTTGTTAAACACCACAATAAATATATACATAGTTCACCATGAACGGTTCATTTCCAAGATACCCAGTTGAGTCCTTCTATTTTCTCATATCCTGTAATAATAGACATTTGCATTAGTTTTAATAAAGAAATGTACACATAGTAATGTTTTATTAAGCATACTTGCATCATCCCAAAACTTTTTTGTCTTGAATTTATTTTTAGCCTGAAGGAGAGCTATTCTTCTTTGTTCCTCAATTAGTGGTTGTGGCTTTTGTATTGCAGGATTAGGTGAGTCTTAAAGTATAATTTAACAATTATTTAAATACACCAAATTATTAACCTACAGCCCTGTTCCATTATTTTCTGTTGTGGAAATCAAAAGCTAATTTTAATGTTAAGACAAAATGAAATGCTACTTGTTAGAGAAATTAAAGAAAATATCTTACGACAATTCCGTTTTACAGAGTGTTCCTGTTTCTTCATATTGAGTACGAAATGTGAACTCTTTATATCTTCTAATTGCGGCTTAAAACTTTTACTGCCATAATTTACAACTGAAAAAAATAATGACTGTTGAGTTAGGACGAAGAGTGTTGGCCTAATGGCTTCAACGTGCGTCTCTCATCCCTGAGGTCGTAGGTTCGATCCCCGGCTGTGCTCCAATGGACGTTCTATGTCGAAAGTTCGAAATTAACATTTTTGTTTTAAATTAACACACAACTTACAACTTGGTTTCACAACAAAAGGGGTCTTAATATGTGCGGATATTTCGTTATGATTGGTACCCTCACCTGTAAGAAATATACATTAAAATCACTTATAAGTCCTCTTAATTGTTTAAATTTTGTTGAAAAAATGTTGACAATATTTCCAGGAAATTGGAAATTTTACTGAAATATCATCGCCATGTGTTCGGACGCTTTTTACTATTGTACCAAACGGTACTTCAACAGCAGTGGCAGCGCGAGTGACCTATTTAGGCCGATCGTAAATGTCGCTATGTCGCTATTAAAAGGCTTTTATTTCCAATAAAATTAAATATGATATTCAAATTTCTTGATAATTCCTAATTATTCCTAAACTAGGAATAACTAGGCGTCCTCCAGCAAATGTGGAACATACAAAAAATAACTCCACAACGTAATATTACAAATAAGTGATCTTTTAGAACTTACTATTGGCTTTTATAATCGTAGGCATTTTGATGTGTCCGAACATTTCATTGTTTTGATTATTTAAATATTTGTGCGAAGAGGCATTCGATTTGACATCATCTGTAACAATAGAATGATGCCTATACTTTACTGCTGCCGCAAAATTATTACAATAAAATTGGTGCAAATTAAAATGTAATGAGGTAGTATAAATAATGATTTACATTATGTCTATTAAAATTAATTCTAAGTTAAGAAAAAAAGAGATTTCTTAGTCTAGTTAGTCTAAGTTAGACCCAGTCTATTTTTTAGTCTTACTAAGACATTGAAAGGAATCGAATTTTGATAAAACATTCACTATTGCTTAAAAACTAAGTAGGCATATGAAATATACCTTGAGTTTTTTGTTTATTTCTTGAGGCTTTTGTACTTTTTGTTCCTGTTAAGTCTGAAAATAATAAATGTATGTTAAATAATATTTTCTTAGTCCCTTCCCGCCGCGTTTATAGTATCAGTAGATTGTTTCACATGTACAATGTTAAAAGGCGTTTCATGTTTTTCCATCATCATCATCATCATCGTTATAAATTGCACTCAAAACAAAAAGCTAATTGAACAACCACATGCTATGTACTGTATGTACATAATAAAAACGTGAAACGTGAATAAATTTACACGATATCTTTATGTACTGTATGGCGTCTCTCCCTACTTTCCTTTAATGTACCCAATATTATTTGTCTTAGGGATGGTGGGGTACAATAAATTGGAAACCAGACGGGACTTACAGTTGGCCTACTACGTACTGAAAGTCTTGCGGAGGTTAGTGTGTAACCCAAGTGTGCTCCAAGAACTGGGTTTCTTTGTACCTATGGGATATGTGCGACGGCGAAGGCCAAGCTTATTTGCGATACCAAGGGCCAGTACCAGTCCGTTGCACAGACCCCCGTTATCGACATATATGTTCGCTGAGTGAATTCATAGTAGCGATATTGTGTATATTATGTGTTTAATATTATATACTTTATTATATTTTATTTTTTCTCGACATTTTTATTGGCTTAGTCTGAAATCTATGTATTTCTGTAATAAATAAATAGGATTGAAATCTCACGTTGCGGCTTCTTATTCGCGGGAGCTGACTTTGCTGCCACCAAACCACTCTTTAGCTCAGGGGATGGTGGCCGTGGTCTTACTTTGACAGCTAAATTAAGAACACGGGACATTACGAGTTTACAACATAACATTGAACACGTACCTATGTGTCATATCTATAAAAATTTGCAATCAAAAACATGAATCATGGGCAAGTCCAACGAATACTATGATCAGATTATTAGATAGGTACTATTCGACTACACAACAAAGTGTTAATTATTACAAAATACTTTTCATTACTAAAGTAGAACGAAGATTGAATAATGAAGCAGGCAGAATTGTTCATATATGATGTACGGATACATAATTTTTAAAATTCTATTTATGCTTGATCCTTTACTTTTGATGAAATATGTTAGATTGAAAAGTACTACTATCGCTATATGATGTCTAGAAAGCCCACGAAACTAACCAGTATTAAACGCCATGAGTGGAGGATTTCTTGTCTCTCTTGTATTGGGTCGCTTATCTCTACACGTCTTATTGGCTGTCCAAAACAAATAACTAACTGCTATTATTGTTATCATAAACTGCCATTGTAAGTACGATAAGCATGCGACAATGCGGTAAAGCCTCCAGAGTAAAATGTGGGTAGAAATGCTGATAATCGTGTCTATGACTGAAATAGAATTATTTTAACTACCCTCGGTATATCACGATCAATTCAATTTGAAACCATGGCACATATGCACGTACATAAATATCAACAAAACAAAATATTATTTAGAAACTTTTTTTACCGTGTATTTCCCACACCCATTAAAAATAAGTAAGAAACATAATAACTCACATAAAATGCTAACTTTGCTGAGATCGCGTTTTGGTGTCGAACTGGTTGAGGATGGTCTGTTCTCCGCTTGAAAAAATATTCATGTAATCTGTTAAAGTTTTACTAAACGGCAAACTAGTTAAAACGTATGACCCGAGTCAATAAGAGATTTCCGAAATTCATATTCTTCCGAAGACGGGTTAAAGGAAATGTTTCTTAATGTTTCAACAATTTAGACACGTTTTCAGCAAGCTGAAACGGTCATTCACATTTCAACTTGCTGACCGTTTCAAGAGAGCCTCTATCACGTACCATAAAATTACCCTCGTCTTCAGGAGGCTGAAACATTTTTTCAGGCTATTTCAAAACAAGTTTAGTCATATTCAGTTTTCTAATAAACAGATTTATGGCGTAATATTATGAAATAATATATTTTCTCAATTGGACCCTTTTAACTTTTCGTTTTTTTTTGTGTTGTTATAATTACTAGATTCTTTCACGAATATAAAGTGACATTACATGTAAATGTTATTTACGTTAACCAAAGATTCACTTAAATACTTTACCTTTCCAAGAGAGTAAAGGCGATCGACTGCGACTAAACTGCGGTAGAGGTATCTTGCTTGGGGCTAGGAAAAATATAATTTTTGGCCAAGTAGATATCGTTTCATTCTTTATTTTAAATTTATAAAATATAGTTTTTTTTATCCTAGGCAAAAGAGCTCACGGGCCAATAAGGCCAGCCCTGCGATTCTGTAACTCACTTTTCGAACTCACACAGCGGTTTTCGCATCGGCGGTCGCTCTCAAATCAGTCGTGAAGCAGTCATTTTATGATTTGGCATTCTGATAAACAATAAACTACAAGCTCCCACATTTTCAATGCCAAATCATAAAATGACTGCTTCACGACTGATTTGAGAGCGACCGCCGATGCGAAAACCGCTGTGTGAGTTCAAAAAGTGAGTTACAGAATCGCAAGGCAGTCATCGCAGTCTATGGACACCCATATTAGTGTGAGATGCCTATAAAATTGCAACAGAAATTAAACTTCGCAATGATGAAAAAAACTACTGAGAGGTGTGGCAGTTTGTACTATGTTAGTGAATGTGAACACATCATATTTTTTACTTGGTGTGTTAATACAATAATACATTAAAAGGCCGGCAACGCACTCGCGAGCCCTCTGGCATTGAGAGTGTCCATGGGCGGCAGTATCACTTAACATCGAGTGAGCCTCCTGCCCGTTTGCCCCCCGTTCTAAAAAAAAAAAAAAAAACATGCAAACAAATAACGCTTACAAATAAATTATTCTGTACCTGGCGAAGAAACGGGACGGCCGTTCCGATTTATTAAAAGCCTTTTATTCATTGGCGTTACTAGAGGTTTTCCATAGCCATTTGGTGAATCTGTAATATTTTCTCTTTATAATAAAACTAGCGGTAGTCATGATACGACATAACAGGTATTTAAATAAAAATAGCCAATGTTATTCAGGGGCAATGCAGTATTCTGTTGGTTAAAGAATGTTCGGAATCGGTCTAGTAGATTTCGAGTTGATTCGTTAAAAGTATACAAACGTGTCTGTCTTTCCTCATAATATTAGTTTAGATTTGCTTCGACAAAGTATTTTTTTTTTTTTTTTGGGTAATTTCCCAAAGTTGAAAAATTTCGGCAGCAAAGGACCTTTAATGAAATACTGAAATTAGTTCTTATATATTACAAAATGTCATATTTTAAATGAGTTAACATTTTCCAAACTGAGATAAATTATAATAATTACCGAATTATTAGCGGTTTTGAACGTAGTTTTAAGTACATATTATGTACTCAAACTCAAAATGTCTTTATTCATGTAGGTAAACAATTACACTTATGAATTGTCAAGTTAAATTAATTGTAAATTTACATTTACCTACTACCAGTTCGCAAGTCAAGGGCGTAGAGCGGGTAAGAAGAACTGGCAAGAAACTTTCCGCCACTCTTTTTAATCGCCAAGTATTGTCATACAAATTGTTTGAACTGGAGCAAATAAATCCCAAGGATTAGGATTATTTAAGTATTCCTCAACTTTATAAAAAGCTTTATTGATTAGTTTCCGTTTAACGAGGGCTTTGAATTTATTTAGTGATAATTCTCTAATTTCGCTTGGGAGTTTGTTGTAAAAACGAATACAATTTCCATATAAGGAGTGGTTTATCTTTTGGAGCCTGGTTGGTCGTACACTCAAATTAGTTCTATTTCGCGTTTTATACTGGTGAAAGTCACCATTTGTTTTAAAATCGTTTATATTTTTTTGGACATACAATAATAAAAGTAATTTATATTTTGGACATACAGTAATAAGCAAACTCCTTAAAAACTTTCACTTGTATGATATTTTGTCTATATTCGGTGGTTTTGACAATAAGGTTTATATGAATGTACATTTTCCAAACTGAGTTAAATTATAATAATTACCGAATTATTAGCGGTTTTGAACGTAGTTTTAAGTACATATGTAATAAGCAAACTCCTTCAAAACTTTCAATAATTGTATGATATTTTGTGTATGTTTGGTGGGTCTGAGAATAAGGTCGTAAACGTTTTTGTAACCTTAAGTGATAAGTAATATATTTGGCCTACCCTATTATTTGGCATTAAAATACATATTATACGTAACCCCTTAATTTTAACGGTTCTACCACCAACCCCCATTTTTATTAGTGATTAATGAAAAACGGCTCAGCTAGTTGTATTATTGTATAATATTTTACCTGGATTCGACGGTGCAACAGTATTATCACTTGTGTGACGTGGACCATTTCTAGCAGGTTTTAATTCCTTTCTTGGTTCAGCTGACTTAGATGAAAAATTACTTGGAGAATTTTTATTTCTTGAATGCGCTGTAATGTTTGTGTTAAATTGAATTTGATAAATTTGTCGTATCCCGGCCCCACCTTATAACAGCTCTTGCACCTTATAACTTGTATGTCTTTGGACCCCTGCCCTGCGATTCTGTAACTCACTTTTCGAACTCACACAGCGGTTTTCGCATCGGCGGTCGCTCTCAAATCAGTCGTGAAGCACTCATTTTATGATTTGGCATTCTAATAATCAATAAACTACAAGCTCACACCTTTTCAGAATGCCAAATCATAAAATGACTGCTTCACGACTGATTTGAGAGCGACCGTCGATGCCAAATCCGCTGTGTGAGTTCGAAAAGTGAGTTACAGAATCGCAGGGCTAAATTTTTAAAAAGGGATAAAATTACATGCATCATGTAAATGATATTGTTTCAGTCCCCTGGGGGTCCCAGTGAATTAGGTTAGGTTAAAGCCAAATTTCACAAATCATGATGTTTTAATTAATTTCAATTGGGCACAGCATGCGCCACCACATTATTACATGGTTCACCATTGCCGAGTGATGAAAATAAGTAAAAAAAAAATTTGGAGCTTTTATAAGGTGGAGCCGTGATTCGACAAATTTACCTTACATTTTATGGGTAAATGTCATCAGGTATTAAAAATTAACTTAGTAAAAATATTTTTATGTTAACTTATAAATAAGTTTAACAATTATTAAACTATTTAATTAAAAGACCCACTTTCCCCTTACCAACACCCCTAACCATCGACCGCCCATGAAGATTAGGAACTCACACACGCGCTATTTAAATACTTACAATTGACATCCCGAGGCTTTTGTTCAACCATATTTTTTTCAATTGGTTTATGTGACGCACCCGATCGATCTATTAATATAAATATTTCTGTTTAATGGCCAATATCAACACGCAAAAGTTTCTGGACATGCATGACAACATAATGTACACGTTTATGATAGTGTATTATCATAGGTTGTTCTAACCTCATGTTAAGTGACCAAATTCCAAATTCAAATTCAAAAATCATTTATTCACGTAGGTAACACAATGTACACTTGTGATTCGTCATTAAAGAAATAAATATTAATGCTTCTAATTTTACATTAACTGCCAGTTCTCAAATCAAGGGCGTAGAACGAAAGAGAAGAACTGGCAATAAACTCTCCGCCACTCTTTTTAATCGCCATGTTTTTTTTTTTTTTTTACACAACGTTCCAACCAACCATGGACACTCTCAATGCCAGAGGGCTCGGCGCTCGCGAGTACGTTGCCAGCCTTTGAAGTAAGGTAATCATTGGGTAATTCTTATTATAAAAATATCATTCAACATACATACAGATACTGATCTATTTAGAAATTGCTTAAATATATGTTAACAGTCTAAAGATACCAAGAATGTGTTGAAGCGTGTCCCACAGATCCTTTAAGCTAAAACTATTTCTCATCTCCCTTAATTGATACTTACTCGAATTATTACTTCGTGATCTTTCTGTTGACTGAGCTCCACTCCCATTCGTAGAATCTGACAATTATTACTAATTTTAGTGTCTACCTTCATACGTTTTTCACTACAAGTACCTACCAATGGCGCTGCAACCATTTTAGTTCGGGGTTTTAGATTTTTGTATCTGTTTCATGATCTTGTGTCAATCTAATAGGCAAACAGGTGATCAGCCTCCTGAGCCTGACAAACCCCATCGACATTTTGGGTCCAAGGTAAGCTACAAAAGCAAAAAGAAAAAAGGAAAACATCGTGAGGTTTCCTCACTGTTCGAGCGAATGTTAAAGGCGCACATAAAGAATGCGCTCGAAAGAAAGTCCATTGGTGCACAGCTGGGGATCGAACCAACGACCTCAATGTTGAGAGTCGCACGCTGAAGCCACTGGGCCAACACTGCTCTATATTTGACAAGTAAGCATGAAAATTCGAAACACTTCCAGTTTTTACTGTATCGAAAAATACAAATATTAAAATCTATATTTATTATTGCATACATTATGAACTACTATGTCTTTGGTTTTTTGTATCTGGGGCCGTTCAAATATTACGTAAGCTATGCAGAGGGGAGAGGGGGCCGGTCTTTGATTTTCTTATTTGGTGATTAATACGTCAACAATAATTATTTACTTTTTTACACAGGGTTGGGTGTGAGAGTGATGTCTCAGAATCTGATGATACTGATTATGCAGGAGTCTCGGGCACCTTGATTGGAACACCTCCAAGTAGGTAATTTTAGCTGCCGGAAATGCGTCAAAGTATTTTTAAATTTTTTTTTAAATTTTGTGAAATGTATTGAAATTTGTAAACAATCCACCATTATCTACTTTTCTATTGGTTATAAGTGATGTGACATTCTCGGTAAATTAATCGGATCGATTATTTTCTCATTTGTTATTTTTAAAGTTGAACCTAATCGAATCGATTATTTCCTCATATGTTAATTTTATAGTTGAACCTAATTTAATCATTACTTGTCAAATGTACATTAACTTCATGTTTCAATTAGTGTATGGTTGCGAAAATTTTTAAATTATTCAAAAAGTACCCAAAACCGAATCAGAGCACCCCACTATCCACGTGGTCTTGTCTGCCTTACCCCTAGAGTGTATATAAATAATCGGAGGCGCGGAGGAAGAGCAGCCCCCACCCGCTGTAACAAGCATTCAAGCCTCCGCAACCTCGGCTTTTTGGTCGCCTTTGGCGACCAGCCTCAGCCGCTACAGCTTTCATAATGCCTGTGCTTTGGTACGCAAGGGTGGAGGGGCTGCATTTCCCGTAGCGCCGTAGCTGTCCAAAAAAACAAATATTATTTAGATCGGTTAGGTTAAAGTATATGAATATTTTTTTTAAATAACTGTTCATCTGAAACTCGAAAATCGAATACAAAATCGGATTCAAAATCGGATACTAAAATCGATTTTCACTTTCATAGAATAGATTATTTTTCACATCCCTGTTCATTTTATAAACGCAATCGGCCATTTCGAATGTGGATTTTGCCAGAACAGTGTGTTCACAGTGATCAAGTGCAAAATATCAGTCAAAAAGCCGTTACTTTTTACGTTTTTTTTTATTTTTACGTGAATGTGCGTTATTTTATTAGCATTGTTTTAAAACTTGGCTTTACATACATACTAGACACTGATTTCTTGCGATCATTTTCAGATTTACTGTAAAATAGGTGAGATTTTTTTAAATTTCTTTTTTGTTTATGGCGCGCAAAATTTGTGGGGGGTGATTATTACACCCCCCTCCTCAACCCCGCAACCCCAAATTTGGGCGCATCGTTTTCGCATCGTTGCCAATACGTTTATGTCCTATTATATTTGAGAGCTTTGCTTACTTTTGCTGACAAGAGAAGGGGAAGGGGGGATAAATTGCAGAAAATCTGCTTACGTAATACTTGAACGGCCCCTCTACTGTTAGATCAACATCAAAATCACTCTTACTAGAAAGCCTTGAAATCGGGGAACGGCGAGGCGAAGAACAAGACCTGCTGCGACAGCTGGCATTCACCGCATCACTTGTCACAGGGGCAAATTTGCTCTCCCTTCTTAACCCTAAAAATGGAGTGAATGATGCATTCATCTAATGGCCCTACAACCTTTATTGGCCACAGACTTCTGCACCTGTTTCATTAGATCAGATGTTCTTTGTTTATAGTCAGAGTAAGAATGGAAGTACGCACATCGTTGATCAAAGCTTTCCTTACAAGTACGCAGTCAACTGATAGCTTGACTTAATTTTAAGATTAGCAATTTGAGCCGTTGGATTTAAAAAGTTTTCAGATACCGGCAAACATCTTGAACATTAATATCCCAAGGGAGTGGGGGAAAGTTTGCGCAGCGCAGGACACAAACGTCAACTAATTTACCAATCACGCGATCGACACGTCACTCTTAAGTGATACCCAAAAATCGCTTCTGCACAGGCAAGAACATTTGTTCAAGATGTCTGTCGGTATCTGTATCAAAACAAAAATTATTTGTAAAATAATAATCCAGGAACATATCAAGAAAAGGAAATCCCTTAATTATTATAGAGTAAGATCAAATAATCTTACGAGATGAATTGCTTTCTCTATATTTAAGTTTATCCTCTTGCAGTGACGCGGCCTGACTGTTCGTTCGACTTCTACTCGACGCACCTGCAAATATCCAGTAGGTAATAAAAATTAAAAATAAACAACTCACATTTAAAAGTGTTTTACCCGAAGTTTATTTATAACCAAAACTTTTTAGTTACTACTCTTATAATAAACAGCTGATAGGTTAATGTTAAAGGGATCTCACCTCTTTGAGAGGTGAATGACTTTCAGACATTTACGATAGAACTAAACTCTTTTTGGCAGTGTGCTAGCATGGCTCTGTGTTAGAGAGTACCCAAGTTGCGCAGCCATAGCCATTTATAGACCAAATGAAATGGAGATGGACGGGCCATATGCTACGGAGCCCCCATGAAAAATGGAGTAAAATATTGACGGAATGGTACCCTATGACGGAAAACGAAGTACCGGCCGGCAACGGAAAAGATATGAGGACGATCTCAAATAAAGAGTACGCTACAAGTGGAGAAGAGTCGTTAAGGATAGAGAACAGTAGAAAGGGTTAGAAGAGGCCTTTGCCAAGAGGCACACCGAACCTCGGGATATACTGTAGTAAAAATATATTAAAGATCACAGAGTTTCGGAATATAAAGCTTATATTATTATTATTAAATAAACTCTTGTACAAAAAATCGGGCACCTAAAGAAACTTAAGTTCCTAGGTCGATTTCAGTTAAATGCATTAAAAATTCTGGCAGTTTTTTAAATACTTTTTGATGAATCCTTTAAAATGGACACGGCGATGCAATAAGAAATATAGCAATAAAGACTAGCAGTATTCTATTACTTTTTTAAAATAACAAATAGCCAAATATATTCAGTTATAACGTCTTTCGTCTCATAAACTTCGCGACCCACTTCTCAACAGTTGATTTTCCTAGAAGTTTAGTCAAGATGCCTTAAGTGTATGTAGAAAGTCGAAAACTATTTTTGTATGAAAATTTGTCGACCCAAATATCGACCAATAGAATTGCACCATTCGACGTCACGTGGTACAACCTACATGGTATTATACTGATAATTTTTTGAAAATTTTCTCTGGTAGTTGCTTCAAGAAAAGTATTAAGTAGTTGTTTTATTCATTATGAAATTCTTATTTGTTAACTGTACATTTCGTCTCATGGTGCAATTCTATTGGCCGACATTTGGGTCGGAAAAATAATCCCCCGAATACCACACGAGCTTCAAAATCGTCAAGTTTTTCTATATATACTTGACTCCTTCATTTGTTTGCAACGAACCTATCGGGAAATACCCGATAATTTTGAAGCTCTTGTGGTATTATAAGTGAAAATTTGTCGACACGAACTGTCATTTTCATACAAATTAAGTGCGCTCTGAAATATTTTAATCTTGCCTTCAATAGTATTTTTTTCGCCAAAAAGCGATGCTTTATTAACACAAGAAATTCCTTTTTATCCATTTTCTAATTAAACAAAACTCTCTCTCAAAATACTATAACTCACAAACGAATACTACGACAGTTGTCAAACTTATGCACGTGCCTTTTTAAGGTTAGGGCTAACTAATGTCATATTAATTTTAATACGAGTAGCGACATCTATGTATAAGCGTACGAACTTTTCAGCCCATCTAATATGTAGGTAACAGGAGTGCAAAAAACAAGAAACAAGAAGGAAACATAACAATCCTAATAATCGGAAAATCTATTACAATTACCTGACACTTGTAAACGTTTTTACGGTTTATTCCCAATTAGTAATAAAACTTGTATAGTGCTTTTCATGAAAGAAGTCCCGCGGTGATTTTTGGAACTAAATTTGACAGGTCGGGCGTCGGCAATGTTGTCATTAGTCGATGTTATCAAGTTCGTTTGTTGTGGTAGATTTTTTAACTAGCTTAGTGCATTTTGAAAATTGATTACAATGCCAAAAGTTGTAAAATGTTCGGCTCGAGAAATTATATTAAAGGTGAAAGAGTTCTGTGAAGCGGAACATAAGAATCAAGATGTTTTAATACCACTAAACAATGTTCGGAAGAGAGTTGCCGCCATAACAGGTACTTTTTAAGAGTTGCCATTTAATTTTTTTTTGCTGTATTGATGGGACTTTTATGATATAAATTCGTTTTTGCGACAAAATTGAACAAACACATAACGTGATGAAACTAGGTAACTGAAATTAAAACATATATTACATAAGCATTATAAACTTAAAGTTATTATTATTTTTAATTGTTCATAATTTAATTGCAGGTGTGTCAGAGAAAACTGTAACAAGAATTACAAACGAAGGTATAACAGCGGCGTGTATTTCGAAAAAATTGTAACTCAACAATTATGCATTAAAACTCTAAATAAAAAATTGTATTGTTTTTCTTTACCCTATTTTCTTATCTTTTCCCTGTAAGTAGGTAGAACACCGCTAAAATAAGTAAATACAAATATACTTTTTACATAACAGAAATTTTGTTTCATCGAAGTATGCAAATAGTATTATTTGATAAATTACATCTGCTAAATGTAAATAAAGTAGGTAAATTTTTTACTCATAAATGGCAACATTACGTCATGCGATTGCAGCGCCGCGTCTGGGGGACTTCTTTCATGAAAAGGACTATACACCATATTTATCAAACCACAAATTACAGAACATGAACTACAGATAATCTACTGATTACATACAGATACCACTAGTAATAAAACAACGATAGAATCAAAATACTTTATTAACCATATTTAACAGTTCAAACTTAACATACTTTGCCAGTACTTTACCTCCAGAGTAAACGTTCATTATGACTCAAATCCAATGTTCTACATACGGGAGCCATACCTATGAATCTAAAGCCCCGTATTCATGGGAAACATTTGTTGAGCAACAAAGTTGAATCAACGTGTTGCGGAGTTGCTGTCAACACTGCGTGTTGCAGAGTTGACAGCATCATGTTGACAAGCTCTCGCCCGACAAGCGTAAACATCAGTTTAGCGACAATTGTTGACGTGTGTGGACGAGTTTGCAACAGTTTATAAACATGGCAGTAGTGTGGAGCAATGATAAAATAATGCAATTAATAGAATTATTTCAATCAAAACCATTATTATGGGATTGTTCTATAAAACAATACAAAGATAGAAACAAAAAGAACGATGCATTCGAAGAAATTTCTCAAGTCCTAAATATACCCAAAAAAGACGTAGAAACTAAAATACATGTACTGCGTACTCAATTTACTAGAGAGAAAAAAAAGATGTCGGCAAAAAAACTACAGGCAGCGGCGCAATAGAAAAATGTAAATGGATTTATTACGAGCCATTGGAATTTTTGTTATGTGGTGCAACTACTTCTGGTGAAACGGATACTATGAATAAAACAGTAAGTTGTTTTTGTATATAATTGTTTTATACTATTGTCTGTAAAATTATTACAATTACGCTACATTATTTTGCCATGGAACTCTTCCCTCTGGAGTTATAAAGTAATCGGCAAACTGTTCTCTAATACAAAGAGCTGATTGTGATGCAGGCCTGCCCCGTCTTTGCAAATCAATCATAGGAAACGAACTTAGTTCCCTTCGCCAAGAACCTTCTAATAGGTTACCTTCAGAGTCTTCAAAATCAAAAGTTTGTGGAGGTGTATATATGGATCTGGAAACTGAGTTACGTCTTAAGAAGTTATGTAAATATACACAAGCAATTACCACGAGTTCACAATTGGCTGGTTTTAACGGAATAGGTTTAGTGAATACACGGAACACCACACATAAAATGCCAAAAACATTTTCTATAATCCTCCTAGCTCTTGATAGTCTGTAATTGAATATACGCTTTTTGTTCCCACGTTCATGAATGCCAGGATATGGTTTCATGATGTTCTCCGTTAGCGCGAAAGCACTGTCACCTACAATTACATACGGCATTTCTGTTCCGCCTTGTGTTATTGGTTCAGGCCGTGGCAGTTTAAGTGAGTTTTCTAACAATGCATTATAAAACGGTGTTTCTTGAAATATTCCACTGTCGGACGACCGACCCTTAGCTCCATAATTTGCGTAAATAAAGTTGTAATTGCCATCTGCAATTGCCATAAGTACCATGCTGAACTGATTTTTATAATTGTAGTATTCACTTCCAGAATTATTTGGCGCCACAATCATAACGTGTTTCCCATCAATGGCCCCAATGCAATGTGGAAAATTCCATCGTATTTCGAATTCACGACTTATTTGTTTCCATTCTTGTTCCGAACTTGGAACCTAAAAAATAAATAAATATATAATAAGATAATAATTTACAGGTAGATGAAAACAATGCACTTGAAAGTGGTATGGAGTCAGAGCCATCTCAATCACCAAGGCCGAATGCTACAACATCTACATCTTCGAGGAAAAGAAATAAGACAGATGAATCAAATGAAATATTAGAGGTTTTGAAAAGTGCTAGAAAAAAGATGGATGAAAGGGAGAAGAAGGATCCATTTGATATATATGGTGAATATATTGCTGCTGAATTAAGAAGTGTTAAAGATGACCAAGCCGTGACACAGGCAAAGTACCATATTAATAATATACTGTATGAATTAAAAATGGGACGATATAATACATATGGATATCAAACGGCATCTTCTCATCCATCATCAACACCAAATAATGTTCAGGAAACTGAAATAAGGGAAATTGAGAGACACGAAACAAATAGACTAGATGCATTACGAGACGAAACAGAAGATTCGGCTATACTAAACTTAGTTAACTATCTCAGTGATGAATCAACGCAATAGCATACACTGTTTTTTTTTGTGTTTTTTAATTAATAAAATACTTGATTACACAAATAGTGTTCTTGTACCTTGACATATCCTGCTAGTGAGTTAATTAGTTCTTGACATACATCTGGTATAATTTTGCTAATCAATTGTTTTGATACTTTGAATGTGTATGAAAGAGAACTGTATGAATCTCCAGTTGCAAGATACCGTAATGTAATAGCCAGCCTCGTTTGAGGTGAAACTGGCTGACGAATATTTGTTTCCCTTTTGGCTATTGATGGACCAATCATTTCTAGAAGATGTTCGAAATCACTTTTCGACATTCTCGTAAAGTTACAAAATGATCCATCTGTCATTCTGAGGTCACTCATCAAATTTTCTCTTTGCAAAAGATAATTTCGAATCCACCATCTTTTTCTCTTTTTTTTATTAGAGATTCTATACATCTGATACAGAGAACACAACAACACTACCTCCTCGGGCAACATTTTAACGCAGACTGGCGTGTGGACAACCTGTATTGATTTAAACATAGTTGCTAGCAACATTCTCGCCGCTCACCAACAATGTTTAGCAACTGTTGCTAAACAAATGTTTACCATGAATACGGGGCTTTACCCTTACGTCAATATTTTAACTAAAAACATTTATAAAATACTGAAATAACAAATAAGAGACAAAACATTCATTCGTGTGTATGAATAACATCATTCGTTACAAGTTTCTATTTTACTATACTCAGTCAGAAGGTTTATTATCATTTATATATTCAGTACTACAGCTTAGAGGTTCAATTCAAATTAAAATATTATTAACCAGTTGCTTCTTTATTAATATATACATACATTTAACCATAAAAGTACTGTCAGCAAAAATGGCGGTTCAACAAAATTTATTTTAACTGTACAATACCGGAAGTAGGCAAGTTAGGAGCGGACGCCAGCCTCTCCTTGTGCTTCTGTCTTAGTGCCGCTTTTAGTTCCAGTTCCACGCAATGTTCAGCAAACATTAGCTGTAGGGGAGCGTACATGTGCGGTAAAAGCTCCAAATCGCTCATAGTAATCTAAAAAATATAAAAGGCATATAATATAGGATTTTTTTTTTTTTTAATGTTTTCCAAAGAAAATAATGGTGTAGTCTAGTTCACCCAGAAAAAGAAAGATTGGTAGGTGACTCGAGAGGTGGTCTTTTGGAATTAAGAAGACAGGGGGAAAGTTTTGGATAGACTTGGCAAATGGAGTGGTCGTGAAGATCTTTACAACTAAGGATGGAATATGATTAAGGTTTTGAAGTAAAACTTCTTTAGGCGCGACTAGGAACTAACTCAGATTTTTTTTCTGACGGAAGTAACGTAAGCTGTACTATAGTCTGTGTAGTTTCCGCTATTTAAAAATAACAACGATAGCGCGTTTTATAAGTCCGTCAGCGCCATCTGCATTATTTGAACTGATTTAAGTCAGTTTCTTGGTAGTGTTTATTTAGGATAGCATTCACTCGTTTTATTTGATACAGATTTTTGTAATTATGTTATTATTAGTATATTTATATTTAAAATGAAGATCCTTACTAGTAACATGTGACCAAATTAAAATTCCACTAAAGAGGGAAGGTTCTCATCCTAGCTTGCTTTTTTTTTGTTATACATACGGCCAGTTTTTTAGCTTAATTTCGTATTTTACCATTTTGGAAGAAGTAAATTAATACCAAATGAATTACCCAAAAAATCTGGTCTATTTTATATAAAAATAACAAAGTTGTATAAGAGAATAGCAAAGTGAATAAAAAATCTCTAAATATACTTATTGATTTATCACTTTTAAAATAAGTAAATTAATAATAAATTTTCTGACGATTGCGACATTCTATGATATTCAATAACAAGGTTATATTGACGTGTGCTGATCTAACCTTCGTATTTGAATAATCTTTGTAAAGCACATGAATAATAAATATAATTAAATTATAATATGATATTTAATATTTAATCATTTCAGTGATATATGCCGTCAACGCCAAAGAAGTTTTACTTCAATCGCGCGTAAAGGTTACACGCACTCACTTTTTTATTTAATTTTAGTTTTATTTTCACATTTTAATTCAAATTTTTAAATTATATATAAGGTTTTTTATTCAGTCAGTTGACGTACATATACAAAAATATGAAAAGCGGTGCCGTCCCATACGGACACGACCAGAAACACACAAACAAAAACTGTCTATACATCATAGAGTAAAAATTATAATGCAAAAATGTAATCTATAATGGTAAATTCTCACCTGCATATTATCAAAAGCGATACCAACACTTTTATTATCATTCAAAATGTGCGCATTAAGTCTAGGCAATCTCGCATATCTCTGGCTAAAATGCGTCAAAACTGTGAATGTTGCGTTCATTTTCCTTCCTATATCTATCGCTTGAGACGTGGTTGAATGCATTTTTGTGCGGGCTTCGTCTGCCAATTCATCTTCCATCGTCGCTTCATGGATTAGGAGTGTTGAGTTCATGCCTTAAAAATACTTTTAACCTCAGACTGTGACTCTCGCATTTGCAACTCTCGTGCATTTGACAAGCGGAAGTCGTACTTAACTAAATAAAGGACTAAGTGGGTTCAAGGAATAGAAAATTTTGCTGTAAATTTGAGTCTTCCCGTGTATAGGGACCGATATACCGATATAATACCGACTGTATTATGGACACGGGATTTTCAAAGTATTTTTGGCATTTAGTATGACACCCGTATGTCAAAATTCTAATGCATTTGACGAGCGCAAGTAGTAATTAAGCTGGCGGTAATTCAAATTAACTCGGAAATTTTGCTTTTTGCTTTAATTCTGTTGCATTTGACAAGTGGAAGTCATACTTAACTAAATAAAGTGTTCAAATGGAATTGAAAATTTAGCGGTAAATGTATCTTCGACGATATTAAAAGCCGGACATGATATTAAATTTAAACAAATTTAATCTGTCACTAACATCTACAATTAGGCCCTTTCTCCACTGCTCCGGTCCGGCGTCGGAAACCGGAATCAGTCATGAGAAAAATATCGGAAGGCCGGATTGTGTTTCTCCACTTTATCCGACAATAATCGATCAGTAAAAATGTCACCCCGTCGCAACGGAAGTAACGCAGTGCTTTATTCAAATTCCTCGGCTAATGATAATAACAAAGAGATGAAACGATTCTTATTTTTTATTTCTTAACTTTTCTTTCTTCTAATTCAGTTTTTCTTAACGTTTCTTGGCAGACAATTTTTTGCCTTTTCGTCATTTTCTTTTCATACATTATTTAGCCATTATTCGTTCGGATTAAATTATTGTTTTTCGATATTTAAGCTGTAGCCAGTTTATATTTGGTTTAGTTTGTTGATTGCGTTCGAAGCTTAATATAAATTGTATAGATCCAAAATCCCCCTAAATAAATGTACCCCCTGAAAAAACCCTTGGACATCTTGTTTCCCACTTAATTTGGGGGGAAAGCACCCAAGTTGGCATCACTGTCGATCACTTCGGACCGATAAAACAACGCGTTCCGATCTAGCAAATTATCGGATCGTTAAAAACCGGATGCCGGAGTAGTGGAGAAGTATGTAAGTACTGTTGTTACATTCTAAATCGGATCGGTAATTAACGTTTGCCGGACCGGAGCAGTGGAGAAAGGGCCTTACTGTGTGCATAAAATTATGCATGAATTGTTATTGATTCAACAGGAAAATGTCACAAAATCTGAAACGTGATTACAAATAAATAATATTCGATATCGATTTCTGAACTCGCTAAAAATAATCAAAATCAAAATCTTACCGATCTTAACAAGCTCTTCACACGGTATCGTGTCTCCAGAATAAGTAACTTTGTGTTTCTCGTCTACTTGTACGGCGACCCCAAAAGCATTAGGACAATGTGAGACCAGACAGGATGTGATATTCTCAACACCAATACCCGCTAACACTGCAGATGTGATGTCTCTGTTCGGGGGATCTGATAGTTTTGCTTCTAACTGAAAATGGGTAATTATTTTGGGTAAATATTGGGTACTTTATAAAGGTTTTTATTAATCTAATAGACAATACGTTTTTAATAAAATAATTTATTGACTTTTTCTTTTTGTAAATGTTTCAACCTTTTTGTATATAATATGTTATTCCATCATTGGTTATATCTTAAGTATAATTGTTTTTTGTTCTATATAATTTATACTAGCTCTAGGATTACGAAATAAATAAATAGTAAATTTCGGTTAGTTCCAATTTCCAGGAAATCTTCAAACTTCTATATGGAAAGTATTTTTTTTATTCAAAATCTTATGTAATTATGCATATTAAATAAATAAAATAATAATGGATGAGTTCTTGAATTATTTCGCCTATACAAAGTTATATATTAATAAGAAAAAATGTACTTGAATTATAAATATTAATAAAATATTGTATTAAATATTATGTACATAATAATTTTTGTATTATTTTTTTTTTCGCACAGTTACTAGTTACTAGTCCTTGTAGGACAAGAAATATCAACGTCAGACACCGAAGACTGATCCACCCCTATTTATTAATCATGTAGATATACGGGCATTTGTGAATTATATGGTTAAAATGATATCATAACTGAAGCACTTACCAAATTCTGATTAGGTATCAAAGTGAACTCATTCCGTATAGTCTCAAATTGCTGGTCATACTTCGAAAGCCAAGTCACAATTTGGCCAGGGGCTAACAAGTACAACGTGTCGTCACTTGAAATCTCGTCCAAAGCGTGACGTCGTGCTTGAAGAACGCCCATTAAACCTGCAAATTGACGCACAATATCCAATAAAATTTCAAGTTGTATAAATCTAAAAGTTCCATGGAGGAAGAGTGCTATGCGCTCCATCGACCAGTCTAACCGCTGACTGAACGATTTGCCTCGCTGGAGATTATAATAATAAGTGTTTTCTCTTATAATATAAATATGTGTAGCTGTAAGATTACTTATAAATAAAATAAAACACATACCAATATGATGGTCGGCATGTAAATGAGACACGAAAATAGCCTTCAAGGACCTCAGGAAAGTGTTCACGCGTTTTGGTCCGTAAAATCGTACTAATTGATTAAATGTGCCTTCACCACAGTCTAACAGCATTGAACGATTTTCACTGTAGAAAAAATTATAAGCAATATCAGTACTTAGCAAAGCGTTGCGGGTCTAATGGTCCTATAACCCTAGATGGGTTCTTTTGCGAACCACATTCTAGAAAATTCTTACCCCCGCATAAAAATTAAAAGAGCCTTTTAACTGTAAGACTATATCGTCACTGTAGAATGATAACCTCGTATGGGAGCGTTCAAGTATTACGTCACGTAATTTTTGGATATTATTGACCCCACCCAGGTGTAACGCGCCGTAACGTTTTTCTGTACCCAAGTACACTGTACAGTACTGTAACCAAGTATAGTAAAACGTTTCGTAACCACCTACTGACTCTTTATACCTAATTGTGTACCTTGTTACACCATTATGTGATGTAAAGTACTGGAAAGTCGAAAATAATATAAACAATAACGCGTAATTCAAACCCCGCGTTTTACAAAAGGACCTCCCCACCAAAATTCGGTACGGAATACTTGAATGCTCCCTATGTCAAAAAACCATTTATTTTTTATTCTTAGACTCTTATGTCATTTAACTGGTATAATCATGAAGGACTTATTTATGTTATTAAGTCATTTTAACCACCTAAAACTATGGACAAAACAAAAACACATAATATTTTAATGCACATTGACGAAATTAAAAAAAATTTCGTTTCCTATAATGTTTGGTTCTCTGGACATACGAGGTTATCATTCTACAGCGACGATATCTCTTTCTCTAAAACTGTGTTCACGTTTGTGTCGTAAAGGGTCAAATTAGTACTTCATTCACCAGTTTCTATACAAAACTATTTTACTTATACTTACTCGATTTGAAGAACAATTCCACTAGTATTCCTAGTCTTACTGGGTATACATGACCCAGTACCCAAGAAAACCACTTTTGGAAACTCTCTGGCGTCACTCTTTGCGTACCGAAGGTTGTCTACCAGGGTTCGAAACTGTTCCAAGCTGGGCACAAATCCATCCACATCCATCGTTTCTTGGATGTAATCTTGGATGTGGAGTTTCGGTTCCGCCGACCTGAGGGGATATGTAAATGACTGAAATTAAGAACGTAATAGATCTAGGAATGAAATACACTTTCATGAATGAACAAATAAAATAAATTTTATAGTTCATGACATAAAAGATATGTAATATTCGTACATAAAATAAATAATTACACCAAAGAATTTTCAACTAAACGCAGTCTAGGCTGGCTACACTAAAATTAAACCGAATCTTTCACAGAAAGAACGCGCAGCATAAATAAGGTAAAAAGTTCTTAGGCTGACACAAAGATGGCGCTAATGGTATTAAATAAATACGATGTTTAGTTAGCCCTAACCTTCAACGAGTATAAATTAGTTTGTGAGATATAGTATTTGGAGTGAAGGAACTTTTATTAGTTTAGAAAATGGATAAAAAGAAATTTCGTGTGTTAATAAACATTGCTTTTTGGTAAAAAATACCATTGAAGCCACGGCTTAGCTTGATAAACATTATTCACTTGACACTTTGTTTTTTAATACATTTTGATTTAATTATGAGACAAAAATCTAAATGTATAAAGTTAATAATTAATGCTCCCTAATTAACATAATGAATGCAATAATAATTCCAGCTGTTTGAGGACTTAGTCTTACCTATCCAACTCCCGCTTAGGCCGTAAATGAAACATAGTAAGAGTCCTGGCAGCCATGAAATTCAGCCGCGTATTATCATTCGTGGGTTCTCCCTCTCCCTCACCCTGCCCCGACCCCTCCATGTTTATAATCGTCTGGAACTGGGCCACGGCAATCTAAAAATTAGTACTATATGCCACCACCAACATGCTAACGTTTCTAACAAATACGAGTAGAATAAAATAACTAAATTAAAGAGTTAAATGGGATATATATTTTAAAATTTCTGAATTTCCCCCAGCTTCTATTGTAATCTTTCTTTTTCAGTTTGAAATAAGTTCCTAGTTGTTTAGTATTGTAGGAGAGCTAAGCAAACTGTCGTTTTTAAAATGAGAATCAAAAATGAGATTTCAATTGACACTTTTTTAAATTTAATTTTAAAAACTTATTTAAAAAAAGCTAAAAACATGATAATTTAAAAAAAAACACTTGTGGATAATTCATGCCGAAGATTGTCTACCAGGTTTCGAAATTGTTCCAGGGTTGGGCACAAATCCATCCATATTCCTGTTGGTTGTAATCTTTAAAATCGGGATTTAATTCTATCACAAATAGTCATCCCTATCACTTAACGGGAATACGTCGAATTACCAATAACCCTGTATATACACTTATCCAACCTACGCTTATGCCATTAAAATAAAATTCATAAATACCAAAAAAAATTGATAAAATTTATATTCCGTAATACACAATTGCAGATTTGTATCTAACCGGCAATTAGGTCATCTTAGGACGTCGCAGGTAACAAACATCCACAACATGTTTTTTTTAAATCAGTGGCGCTACAACCTTTTTAGGTTTGGGCCTCAGATTTCTGTATCTGTTTCATGGTCTTTTGTCAATGTAATAGACAAGTGAACAGCCTCCTGTGTCTGTGCCGTCGACTTTTTGGGTCTATGGCAAGCCAGTTTCCTTTCGATCCTATCCTTCACCGTTAGAGCGAATTTGAAAAACGCACATTGTAAGAAAGTCCATTGGTGCACAGCCGGGGTCGATCAGGGATGAGAGTCGCACGCTGAAGCCACTAGGCCAACACTGCTCTTTCAACAATATATTACTAAGAATTATTAACGGATTTCAAATAATTGTTCACTGATTGCTGATTCTATATCCATTTTGAATAGGAACATGACAAATCTATCCAGCAGATCAAACTCAAACTATCTTTATTCATACAGGTAAACAAGTACACTTATTAACGTCAAAAAAGAAGTTAAATTAATTGTAAATTTACATTTACTACCAGTTCGCAGTCAAGGGTGAGGAGCGGGCAAGATTGGCCGCAAGGAAAGTGGAAGCGTGGCCGTGCCAATCAAACCTAGCGACGTACAGTTGTACATGACGCAATAGCCGGAAAGACAAAGGGTGAAATGTGAAGCTTAAGACCGAAGGCGATCGAGGCTCACTTTGTATACCTTCTGCTCCATCCCCCGGAATCCACAATCAAAGGACCTTAAATAACATCATAAAACCAGTGCTTTTCCCCTTCCACACACACATTATTCACATATACTAAAACTCATATTGAGCAACTTATCCCTAGGTAACACTGAACATTTTTAGAAAATGAAAAACGGCTTGATGTAGAAAGTTGCCAATACTTTTATTGGTTTTTGAAGTAATCTCCGTTCCTCTATACACATCGTCGCATTCGATAGAACCACTGAGAAAAGCAGTGGGCCTATTCTTCCTTAGGGGTCTCTTCTATGGCATTTTCGTACGCTTTCACCGCATCTTCAGGGTTCGTAAAGCGAATACCTCGAATTTTATCTTTAGTTTTGGGTTCATAGCAACATATCCAGCTTTCATCACCTGTGACGATGTCAAATACAGCATTTGATTCACCGCCGTTGAACTTCTCACATTTGGCGACACCTTCACGCGTTAGGTTCATTTTCACGTGTAACAAGAGTTTTAGATTTGCCGCCAATTCACAAAAACAAATGACAAAGGAATGCAATATACTTCATTAGGTTACCAAAGTGTTCTAAAATTGAGATTAAAAAAAAAAATCATAATGTTTCCAACTGGCCAATTCTAAACATTTTCAGTGTTACCCACGTATATTATATATACCACCAATATTCAATTTCTATATTCTACATACCTTATTCTTCAACTCTTCCAATCCCTTTAATCTTATCGGGCTACTGGTCTTCGGAAGTGGGGGATGGGCATTCCACACAGCAGGAACACTCAAATCCTTTAGTAAAGGAAATATGTCTGGGTCCAGCAAATGTAGCTTGTGTTGGGTCTTATGAACCGCTTCCGAGCCAAGGCAAGAGTTCTGCCCGTTGAGTATCAGATGTTGTGTATTTGTACCAAATAGAGACATGAAGGCTTGGTACCTAGAATTTATTTCAATATAATTGAGAACATTATGACACAGTTGATTGAATAATGTTAATATATATAAATTACTGGACATGTTGGTCATGGACTCCTAAATTACTTAAACAATTTCAATAAAATTATCTATTTAAGTTTCCCAGCATGCTGCATACTTTAATAAGTTATGTATATATGTTTGTGTGTCTACTATATTTATATTTTGGGAACAGCCCAAATAACATCAAATATGGGTATCGCTCGAATTCTGGAGGGAAAATGTAAATTATAGGTTTCAATACCTATATTTTTCTAGTTGGTTATATTTTTATAAATTACTTAATTATTTTGCCTAAAATTAAACCAAACAGGTCTAAGTTATACCAGATGTTGTGTTTAGATTTTAGTAAGGATGTATTATAGTTATTTTTCCGTTTCGTGACCACCTAGTGACTCTTTAGTTACTATTATGTGGTGTAAGTCGAAAAAAATATTAACAATAACGCGTAATTTAATCCCCGCCCCGCATCGTAACGTTTCACAAAAGGACCCCCCCCCAACCCAAAATACGTTACGTAATACTTGAACGCTCCCTAAAAATTGATTACTCTGAAACTTTTAAGCTTTTTAATCTAAGTACAAATTAATGATTTAACTCACTTTGGATGATGGAAAACATGCGGAGGCGTATAATGTACTATAACAGTTGGAATGTTTTCTGATGGATTGGTGCCGTTGTCAAAATGAGCTGCAAATTCATCCTCCTTCAGCCATTTGATGTCTGGCAATTCCAGTACTACAATAAAGAATATGTTTATTTAGTATAGTTAATATTTTTTTTTATATCTGTGGCCATAGGTGAGATTAAATTTAATTAAATTATTAAGAAATCTTGAAGGCACTATTAAAATAGGAAACACTCAATATATGAATGAATGTATTCTATGACCAAAGAATTATAGTCTTTGATCGTCACATCTAGTTATGTAAATACCGTTATATTGTGTTTAAGTTTTTTAAATTAGTGGACAACGTTGTGGAAATTTATTAACATAGACTAAAAAGTCTATATAGAAATTATCAATGCTGCAATCATCATCTGACGTTTTACCTTTAAACTAAACAAGCGAAGCATGGTTTTGTGTGGCTTTTCCCTTGCGGTAGGATTCAGTGTAGACAGAGCTAAGTAGCAATATCAAAAAAGTTTTGGATATTGACAAGTCATAGTTTGTGCAAAGTCTCCACTACGAATCTTACCTTTGAACCACAGATAAACGTTACTTTATTATTCAACAGAACTAATTCTTATTCTGTTCACACAGTCATCGTATTTACGATTAAATTGCTGCAATGATTTTCATAAATTGATAAAGAAATGTTGAGTTTGAAAAGACATTTTTAGATTAGTAAATGATAATCTATAAAGTGAAAAACGATATTCTTATAGGCATTTTGTTGCTTTTAAATAATATTTATTTCTCACCTATAAACACAGGTCCAGGGTCATCTGGTGTTTTAACATCCTTTGACATCACAAGTGTTCCATCTGGCAACACTACATCCTGTCCACATTTTAATTGCCCTAACAGTGGACCAGGTTTCACTCCCATTTCAACACATTTCTCTAGGTCTAGGGTACCTAAACGTTTCTGTAATGTAGTTTTTAAATATAAAATACAAGTAGAAAAGATAGTATCTGAAAAAATTGTTACAGCATGCGATGGAAGATTCTTAGAAAGATTTTGTAAAGCTCCATTGTATTAATGGATGTTAATGTACAATAAATTTAATTTTAAAATTAGTTTAATTATTGTAAAAAATGTCAGAGTTGTTAGACCCAAATTTATCTACTAGTTTTACAGTTCTTATGCCCAATAGAATAGAATATTAGGTTTGATCGATATCCATGAATGATTGTGTTAATTTTTATATCTGTGATAGATATTAACTAAATATATTTATTTTTTTCTACAATGAAGTTTACAAAATAGAGTGAAACTTTACATGACTTACAATATAGCCTATACAAAAAAAAGTGTGTGTGTACAAAGAACACATGTCAGAAGTGAAACTTCTGTGGCAAACTAATCTTTAAGTGTTGTTCATATTTATACAAATCTAAAAATTTAGATTTCCGATACTTAGAAGGATGGAAAAAGGAAGATATGTTAGGAATTTAATGAATTTAATTGTCATTAAAATATTAAGTGTCGAATAATAAATAATAAAAAAATGTGACAGTAGATTTTTTTTCCAACGCCGATAAAGAAGTTTGATTTCAATAAGCAACATGGCGCGTAACTGAAAAACGTAGTAATGTTCATACCACTCTTAGTGTTCTATAATGTTTTGCCAATATGTTATTGTATCCGAAAACTAAATACCATTAAAAACTAGACTAGATTTATTAATTATAATTAAATGTTAACATTATTTGAAACATTTATCAATTACCTTTAATGTACAAATATATGCCACACTACAATTATTGGTGACTTTTGGTATAAAATGGTGTAATTTTTCTGGCTTTTTCTTTTCTTTATCTGGAATTAAATAAAATAAATATATCATTTAAAGTCAGATAAGTAATGAAGTATTATGCACAACAGACCAAATGGGCACACAAATGGAAACTGAGTTCACACTACAGAGTATGGAGTAGACACATTTTGTGTCTGTTTCAATGTGCTACAGCATGCCTAGAGAAATTCGGTAATTGGTACAGCAATCTGTACCGAGAAAATAGTATTGATTGTTAAAAAATTCTTGCTCCTTTCCATCACAGATAATCATTTCCTATTATTAATATCTACACTCTTTAAGTCTCCTATTTATTTGTTATTCAGTTTTTCTGTAAAAAAATGTGAAAATATCAGGCCTTAAAATATGGAACACACCTTTATCAAAAGAAACTTTTGATTTTTGTTTAGCAGTTTTACTTCTGTCTGTTTCACGTCTGTAGTAATCTGTGTCATCATGAATAAACTCTTCAAAATCTTGTTCTTGCTTGTTAGTATGATCTGGAGAAGAGTCTAACTTTGGTTTCTTGGCTACTGGCTTCATTTCAGGAAATAAGGTCTGTTGAGGGCTCCTTAAAAGAGACGCATTCAATTAAGAATTCACCATATTGTTACTATTTACTACTAAGAATAGTTATGTTATATCAATGAATGCTTAATTATCAATTACCATTTGTAGAAATTTATTAGAGTACTTTTTACCAAATAATTAAGTACATATACAGCAATGAAATAAAACATGCAATAGGTTTAATTTAGAGAATATAAATAAATATGAAGGAATTTCTATAGTTTTCCATTATAATAAAGATTTTAAATACTTACAGTATCACATACTTCACAGACATAACATTATCATCAAAATCTTCACTGGGCTTACATTTTGCCATTGTAACATTTAAATCTTTCATGATAACAAATCTTTTTGTTGCATTATAAAGTTCATCCTATAAAGATAATGGTAATAAGTATAAATTATAGATATTCTTTTATTTTATTTTATATAGCAACATATTTTAAAATATATTACTATATCTGTTTAAAAAATCCTATTTTTTCAGTAACTACATTAATATTTCAGAAATTTAGATTTTTTAAATTGGACACAGCTCTTCTGAGTTTCAAATGTTTGTATGCACACAATTCAGAAATAAGACAGCACAAATTATGACTCCTGTATGTCAAAAACCAATATATTTTGACATAAAGTCACACTTAGTGCTAAGTCTCATTTCTGCTGAATAAGAAATACGAGCCGTAAGCACTTGAAAATAATATTTACCAGGCCTTCCGGTCCATGTAATGTGATATTAGGAACACCAACATCCTGCAACGTAAGTGATAGACCAGGTAGACCTCCCAGATTCTTCCAGGTCTTACTTGTAATAAAAATGTGATCTAATTTGGATAGCTTTACTTTATGCTCATGAGCTAGACGCTGTGTACATTCGCCACAATTAAACATATATCTGGAATAGTTTGTTATAGATTAATTTACAAAAACATTTACTAAGTCAAGTTCACCAACAGAGGAATTTTAGCAAAAGAAAGTTTACCGTTTTTGATCTGTGAAGAGATATAACGTATTCGGTGCTCCTCGAGCCCCTGAGCCCAATACTTGGAGGTAAATTGTGCTGGGACCGTACTTATCACCTTTTTTAGCATTTTTTTGACGTTGTCGTTGAACTTCAGCTATCCTCGCAGTATTTGATTTCGGCATGTTGGCTAAAATATCCAACAGCCGATTACTACCTTTTGTGGAGTAATAAGCGTTATTTAAGAATTTACATCTAACTACTTTTGTAAATAAATAGAGTTTACCGCACATGTGTTTCGAGGTTATTTATAATTCAGTATTAAATCGTTACGAGCATTTCAGTGCATCAAATCTCCTTCAAATGTGAATTATATGGCTATTGGACATAATTTTAACTTATTGTAAATGTTAATAAATAGCTTTATTTATTTTTATTGATACATTGGCATATTTTTAGATTTAGAACAATTGCCGCACAGATGTTTTTTTGCTACTGTCAATTACAATACTGTCAACGTTGATTTCTTAATAATTGACATTGACGTTTGAGTTGAGTAAAAAAGTACGTACATAAATATATTGAATCGTGAATTGAAATAATTGTATTTTCTAAATTTTCCTAGATAAATTAACGACAAATCTGTATAAAGATTGGTGGTCACTGTTGTATTTTGGTTATATTTGTCATACTATTTGGAATATAATATATATTTAGCTGTCTGAGTTTTGTAAATAGCAACCCCAAAGTAGAAAAATCAAAAATGGCGTTTTGTACAGCTGTGGATTCGTATTGCGCAATTTTTATGTAAATGTTCGAATTAAACCCAATTATTAAAATAATAAACTTGAAATAGTTATTGAGATGAACTCATAATGTTATTATTATATCAGTTTAACCGCGAATATTGTGTAGTGGTTTTATAAATTAAGTTTGTGCCGAACTGTCATGGACCGTCGTCAATTTTTTGTGTTGTGGTGATGTATTGAAATAGTAAATAATGAAACGAAAAATAATACGGCTGTGCTAATAATGTAAATATGATGGCTGTGTTATGGGTGGTTTTATTTTGGGCCTCAGTGAGCCTACGCGCTGTGACTGGTCTACCCATTGGGGAAATACCTCAAGTCTACCCTCATGGTAAGCCATAAAATTATTTAAAAAAGAGTTTAAACTACCGGAAATGTTACAAAAACGTGATTAAAATAAAAAGGTACTTTTTATTGCTTCATCATATCAAATCATGTGCATATTTAAGATTAATAACCCTTTATCAATCTAAAACATACTTAGATGATGCTTTGTATTTAATTTATGTATTTCTGTTGCACCCTTGATTGTTTATTGTTAGGTTACACAGTTTTGCCAGATTACAGTTAAGTTAATTTAAACTTAAACGTTTTTGTTTGATGATGGTTTGAAAGTTAATATTTTTGAGGCTTATACATTTCCGGTTTAGTAGATTATGAGTTACATAAATTTAATATTTTTAAAGTAAATAATATTTAAATAAGAATTTGATATTGAATTGAATAAAAACAACAGCAATACAAAATATTATTTTGATCTATTCTCTCCAAATTAAAAAAAGGGAAGGATTTCGGGTGGTGAAAAAAAAATAAAAAAAACCTCTATTGTAAGTAAATAAAACTACAAACTTATAATTATAAAAATTGTCACCAACAAAGCAAGAAAGTGTAAATTATGAATAAGGCTTATAATTTTTTTCTTCTGCACAAATTTAAAAATGTTAAATTAGTGAATTTTTCTGTCATATCCTTTTAGAGTCACATAGTGAAGAATATGTTGGCTGGGGCTCTGAGGGTGGTTTGTATACACTGCCAGCGCTGGCGTTGGTTTTAACAGCTGTTGGTCTCCTATTTGGCTGTACATGGTGTTACCAACATAAGGATTGCAAAGTGAGTACAGTACCTGTCAATAATGTTTTTGTTTATAGAATTACATAAAACTGTTATAATAAAATATTTATATGAAGGCATGTTAACTACATATATTTAATTTTTAATTATAGAGAAAATGTAGTATTTAATGAACCACAAATAGTCAAAGTCAGTAATTTATTGTGTGATTTTGCATGGGTCAATGATTATATAGGTATTTTAAAATATGTACTTAAAATGGTAAAAGATGCATGACCCAGTAATTTATCTTATTTATAAATCTCACAAGGTAAAGGTAAACAAAGATATTAAATGAGGTTGTACTTAGAAGTAAAGATAACATGTATCATCAAACTTTGTATTGTTTCTTATAAGAATTGACAACAATTACTTTTGTCTAAAAATTCACATGATTTAAACCAAAATTTAAAATTTTCTTATTGTTATATTTACAAGTGAACTGGTGTCTAGGAATTGAATATAAATAATTTAGTATTGTATGGACAAATATTACCTGAAATTTGTCGAGTCTAAACATAGGACCTTGCAATACCACTATTATAATATATTTAATAATAAATCTTGAAGAAATTGAAAGAAATAATATGTATTCAGTTCTTGTTTTACTTTAACCCACATAATAGACAATAAAATTCAGCTGATAATGTATCGTAAATTATGTAGAATATAAATAATCGCGCTGCCTCAGTCTAATAAGAGTTGTATCTAATCACCAAGCGAGGTGAACGCCCTCCGCGTATGATAACTGCGTAGTGAAAAAAAAGTGAATCACTTTACGCTGCGTTCATTAAGAATTACGATTGTGAATCAACATCATTGTTTGTTCGATTGCTTATTTTTCTTATCTGAATGAACTTATTAGATTATTGTAAAGTGGTAATCGGTAAACATTCGGTATGGCGATTCTATAGATAAATACGAACGGATTTAAACTCTACTCACAGTTGTAAGATTGGGCAAAGCCGCGTAATCCAAGACGACCAATCCTTACACTGGGGTTGTGTTTGTGAGTGTATTTAATAATAGAGAATTAGAGATTTAATTACTTATATAAATATACTATACTACCATTGGCATAGTCCGCCTATCTTAGTAGTATGTTGTAAAATACTACTATTCTGAAGAATCTGATTATATACAAAAGCTGTATGTGTTAACTACAAACCTACTTCTAGACCTAGAGCAGTGTTGGCCTAGTGGCTTCAGCGTGCGACTCTCATCCCTGAGGTCGTAGGTTCAATCAGCATTTAACATTCGCCCGAACGGTGAAGGAAAACATCGTGAGCAAACTGGCTTGCCTTAGACCCAAAAACTCGTCTGCGTGTGCCTACCTTCTTGCCTATTAGATTGACAAATGATCATGAAACAGATACAGAAATATGAGGCCCAGGCCTAAAAAGGTTGTAGCGCCACTGATAATCTAATAAACTTACAGACCGCTATTTGTAAGAGATTGTCTTTAGGATTAATTTCGGTAAACATCTTGTTGTATTGTAAATTAAAAATTACAATGTTTTGTAACAAAATTTCATTAAAGCTCATAATTCTTTGGCTGTGATATTATTACAGGGTTATAAAATGCCTCGATAATTTTGTTAAAAATAAGATCGTTACAAAAGCTGTAATTAATGCAGTTCGGCAATTAAACGATTAACGGGATATTTAAAAATACCAAAAGGCATATTTTATAAATATAGAATTTAAGCGGGCTTCACAAAATATGTCTCAGCCTGCCTTTGCCCCGCATTTCAATTGAGACGTATCGAGTTACAAGTCTGCTTTGAGGGTCTCCCACAAACCCCTCATTAATCCATTCAACCATAATGTATCGTTGTTACTATTAGTCATCGGCTTGGATATTTGGCAGCTGATCGCATTATTCTTAATTATGATGCATTTGACAAGATGCGGCTAATTATTCACCGCGTCTATTGTTTATTTTTAAGTTTTGTTTGATGTCGGATGTAATGGGTGTTGGAGGCAACCAATAAAGGCAATTTGCTAGAATAAAAATAAAATAAATCAGTGGAGCTACAACCTCTTTTTAGGTCTGGGCCTCAGAGTTCTGAATCTGTTTCATAAACATTTTTAAATATAATAGGCAAGTGGTGGTGATCAGCCTCCAGTGCCTGACTGACGCCGTTTACATTTTGGTTTCCTCACGATGTTTTCCTTCACCGTTCGAGCGAATGTTAAATGCGCAAATTTGCAAGAATCTTTCATTATTATTGTCTTTTATCTATGACAGCGATATAACAAAGTACTTTTATAAATTTTGTGAAGTTCTACCAAGTTGTATAAATCAGTTATTGTTTCGCCTAGAAGCGAACCTAGAACTTCAGAGTAAGAGGCATATACACACTTCGTATATGCGGACCACTAATTGGTATTTGGTAAAATATTTTTGGCAAATTATTTTATTATCCAATCATTTGCTATATGCAAACATCATTAATATAAACCAAGCCCGTTCCTTTATCGCAAATAAGGTAATGCAGATTAGCATTTATAACCACTGATTCAATAGTCTTCAATCCCGTTTTATATGCTAAATCAATATAAATATACAATTGTATCTTATCAAAAAATCAATTAAAATCCATGGTATTTTTAATATGGGACCCGAACTATTACCAAGTTTTATCAAATAACCGATGAACTAATATTATATAAATATTCTTTTTATATAGATATCCAATTAGAAATAAAATAATAAGTCATACTGTTTTTATATAAAATATCAAAGTATGTTACAAGCATTTGTGTGTGTGAATTATGATTTGAAATGCTGCTTAATAAGTTAAAGTCAAATCATTAATTAATTCAATTGGCCTATTAAAAGGCACTCTTCAAGTCAAAATTACAAGTTAAAAAAATTACTTCAAAAGGTAGTTTCACATGGAGATGAATAGACAAGAAACTCCATACTTACTCTTTTAAAATATGTAGTTTTTACAATTGTTTACATTGATTTGATAATAATTATGTGTGGTGTTAAGAAGGTAGATATGAATATCCGTCGCGAAACTGAACAATAACATTGTTTAGACAATTTTTGTTGACGCGTAAACTGTGGAACTTATGTTATTAATTTAATATACATAATTACAGGATTTTATTTCTGTTATTATATAACATTACCCATTCACACACACACGCACACACATAGTCTTCGCACAATACACGTATGTATTTATTACCATATATGTTGCGGAAGAGCTGGACTCCCCGGCACAAATAATTTGTATTTAATTAAAATACACATAATAAAATTTTAGTTACTATATGGTATAAAATAAATAATGATATATTTAAATTATGAATTATTTTATTAAGGGCGTATTTTTTTCACTGTCGCTGTAGACACTGTAATTAAAGTGAAAGAGTTGAACAACCCCTGCTATTATACTCTTTTTCATAAAGTAGGCATTTGCGAATAGTTTTTTTGGTTTATTTTGTCGCGGAATATAAAAGTTTAATCCGCGTATATTACTTGCGGAAATCATGTTTCACACATGAATGAATGTTTTTCTCTAAAAGCTTCTGTTTAAAGTCTTCCTTCAAGCTTTAATGAATTTTGGTTTGGGACAGAATTGATTTCGTTAGACAGAATACTTATAATATAAATTGAAACGGACATATTTCGGCAAATAAATTGAAGTAGGTACCTATTTAATATTTTTGTCTTGTTTTTGCGCCAATTCCCACTCGTTTTCTGAGCAATGTTGATGATGCTATACGTGTATTGACAAAGTGTATCCGTAGTGTGAATCAACAGTCCTTGTATTTTTTTGAAATGCACTAATATTATAAAGAGAAAAGATTTGATTGTTTGTTTACTTTGAATAGGCTCTAAAACTACAGGATTTGATAATTATTTTACCATTAAACGAATCGAAAAACGTAGGGTGCGTTATACCTGATGAACATAGGCTATATAATATTTAAAAAAAAGTTTTTTTATGCATGCACGACAGTGTAATTCAAGGTGTAGTAGGTGGGTATCTGGAAAAAATTGAATGGCAAACAATAAAATAGGGTGGAAAAAGTTGGAGGAGACCTTCTCATTTTGAACGTTTTTCTGCGGACAAGGCTACGCTGTTACCGTGTACTGCCTCGGGCGATAGCTGGGGGCGCCGTGGGGTTTTAGTGGGTATGCACGGCAGCGAGTCCCACATAAACCTTCACTATCAGGCAACCGTGCCGCGGGAGGGGGGTTATGCGTAACGCATTTTCCCACGAAAAAAAAAGACCTCCACATCTTAGAGTAGTAAATTTTTTCCTTAATCCTAAATCGCTTACGCTGTCGAAACTATTGCTAATAATGCAAAGTGTTTACTACAGTTTTAAATAAGATATCAATATCTACAATAAATATCGTAATAAAGAAATTGCATTGCAAAGTCTCTTTACCGAGATAAGACGCTATAAAAAATCGTGCGACCGGTTAATTAATAAAGAGCCAGTATTTAATCATTTGTGAAAATGTAGAATATTAGTATTCTACCCTCAATGCAATTGTATACGTTATAATTATTTGGTATTAATGCCAAATTAATCAAAATGAATTTAGTTATTCTAGCGTAAATGATTATAAACTTACGCATTTCATATGAATAAGATTTTATCAAGGAAATTAATTATAGTGCTTAGGTGCACAATTTATACATAAACATTTAATGCGAAACGAATAAATAAATGATTGTCGATGGTCGTAGTAATAAATTACATCCGCATATTAATCATGGCTATGGCATGTATGTCTAATACCTCTTAATTATTGTACACCCGGGGTAAAGCTTTATATATATTGAAACGGAAAGACAAAACAATTTCAACATGCAAAGACTAAAGCGACCATAAAAGCCATAAGCGCATAATGTAAATAAAAATTATATTGTCCATATCATAACATAATATATATTTCTCTAAAAAAATATATAACTGAACAATCCAATAAATTTCATTAGTATTGCGTGTTTAGTTCGACCTTCACTATCTATTAATCTAATTGGATCCTAATATTTTTTAATGGTAACACTGTA